ATCCCAGGGCCCTCTCACAGGGCGGAGCAGGCGCCTGGCAGGAGGTGAAAGACCTCGCACCTGCTGACCAGGTAATTCCAGGCAGCTGAGGCCAAAATCTGGTTAAGTTTTAAACCTTGGGTCGCTGTCACGGGCCAGAGCTCAAGTGGGAGCCTGTTGACTCCACCTGAACATTCAGCCCTTCCTGGGAGTGTCCGCTGGAGCATTCGAGGAACCGCGGTCAGGCCACGGCAAGTGACCTGGACTCTAAATGCCAGGGGACAGGTGAACAGTGACCTGCCACCTTCGTTCGCAGAGAGCTCAGACAGACCCAGGACAAACACAACGCAAAAGGGAAAAGGCGGGAGGGAAACCCACCCAGGAACCCAGGGCACTTCACGGGAGAAAAAAAAAAATACAGAGAGTGTGGGGTGGGGTTGAGGGAGAGAGCGACAGGACACCTGCTTTGCTCGCGGCCTACCTGGGTTCGATCCCAAGCACTGCATAGAACCCCCAAGCTCTCCCAGGAATCACCCCTGAATGCAGAACCAGGACTAAGCCCTAAATGCTGCAGGATGTGACCCACTAACAAACACAGTACAGAGGGCAGACCCCCGGGGCGTGAGGTAGCCTCACAATTCCCTGTCAGCTTCCCCAGATCCTCCCCTGGAAAAGCATCCCTGGTTAGGAGGGGCCCCATGGATTCTGGCCACTCGCCCATTCAAGGTTCTGTTCTTACTCCAGCAGACAACTGCAGACATGTTCACCCCAGGAAGAGTCTTGGGACTCACTGACACATCTGTATTTATTTATTTATTTGTTTATTTATTTATTTTTGAGTCATACCTGGCAGTGTTCAGGGCTTACTCCTGGCTCTGAGCTACTACTCCTGGAGAGTTCGGGGGACCATATGGGATGCCAGGAATCAAACCCGGGTCAGAGCATGCAAAGCAAGCAACCCTACCCACGGTACTCTCTCTCCAGCCCCAACACACCTTTATTCTTATCACTGTCTTACTTCTCCCAATTCTCAGTGGGATGGGAATTAGGAGGAAGGCTTTGGGGGTGGGGGGGTGAAGAGTCAAGGGAGAGCAGGACTAGCTTTCTTTCCTGTTCCACCATAATAGGATGTAATTGAGCAAGATGGCCGCCTCCAGCTGGGCCCCAGGAAATGAGCTACTGGCCCTCCCAGGGTCTCCAAGAACTGGGAGAAATCAACGCCCACCAGTTTCTTAGAGCAGCTCGAAAGACATCACCTCCCTCCATCTGCCTGCATCCTGTTTCCTCACATTATGTTGTTCTTCCCCAAACCGTTCCCTTTGTGTTCATGCAGAATGAGTGGATGAGGGGAGGGGAGGGTCCGGGTATTCCAAGGAACTGACCAATCATCACTGACGAAAAGGTGGGGCTTCTTCTCCTTGGGGTACCCTGCTGCTCCCCTTTGTCAGACACTGATCTCTGGAGCTATGTGTGTATGTGGAAGCAGGAAGGGGGTAGCTTCTCATCACCCTGAACCACCCACACAGTGTCCAGGTCTCAGGTGGCCTTCCTGGCCGTGGTCCGGGAACTGTGGATCTTCCCCAGGTCTGCGGTGCTGGGTTCCAACCGCTCAGGATAGATCTCTGTACAAGACTAGAACGTTCATGAATCTGCAAGTACAAGCTGTGACACCAGTGGACCCTCACAGGTGGCTTATGTGAGGCAGGGAGGAGAGACGGTCACTTCCTCTCCCAGTCTGCCTCTACGGCTGGGAAGGCCAGGGCTGATCAAGTCTGCGGATGAGCCCCTGTGTAGCCAGAGCCCCCGCCAGCATCACGGGGTGGCTGTCAAGCTTGGTCTTCTCCACACAGGTGTTGATCCCCACCACCCGATTTCTTAGAGAACCACGGGCTCAGGCTGGAGCGAGGAATTGCTTTTTGCAGGCAAGGAAAGTCAGTCCTCGACCTCACCCAGGGTTTCCAGGTACTCTGTCCTTGCCTCAGAAAAGAATTTTAGGAGTAGACAGAGCAGTGAAGTAAAAAGACAGATTTTATTTGGAGGCTTTCAGGAAGGGGGAGGGAGAGAAGGTGAGAGAGAGTAACACATTCAAGGGAGAACACGGGCTTCTCCAAAGGTGGAAAGGGGGGTCTCTAGCAATAGTACCCAGGTTCGATCCCAAGCATCCCATATGGTCCCCTGAGCACCAGCAGGAGTAATTCTTGAGTGCAGAGCCAGGAGTAACCCCTGAGCATCGCTGGGTGTGACCCATAAAGCAAAAAAAAAAAAAAAAAAAGCAAAGGCAGGGAGAGCCCCTAAATATAAAAACATGAAAGTATACATCTCAAGAGGGGAGATGTGGGGGACACATGTGCTTGGCCATGTGGGCACAAGCAGCACATGGGCTCAGGCAGCATATATGCACGCTTCCTTTGTTCAAGGTGGTTTTATAGGGTTTTTCCCAAGGTGCCCCACTGGGACTTTCTAGCTAGTGAAGAGTCTGTTGCTTAGGGGTTGATAAGGGGATACTTGAGGGCTATTAATCTTCCTCTTTTAAAAATTCCTTTTCTTGACCTTTGTTCCTGTTGGATCTTCTCTCAGAGGGTGAGTCCAGCCTTCTCTGGTCTGGGCGGGCTCCTCAGAGTTCATCAGATTCAAGGAAGGAATTGAGGGTTCTTGAGGAATTTCCTTCAGGCGTTTTCTGTAGAGAGGGGTGCAATCTTCTTAGGGTCTGCTGCTGGAGAAGGTGTTAGCCCATCTTGCTCTCTGTAGCCACACCGTGGATCAGCCTTAAGGCTAGAGGCTTTCTTACTTCCCAGGAATTTCATTGTCATGGGGCCCTTCTCTGTCTAGCTGCCTTTGTCATGCTCTGACAGCTGCTTCAGAGTCCATTCGAAGAAGTTCTTATGCTCTTTACACAGAGAGAAAAGATCTTCCCAAATTAAGGAAGATTGTAGGCTGGAGAGAGCGGACAGGGTAAGGACAGGCCCTGCATGTGGCCAATCCCAGTTGATATCTGGCACCGCATAGGGTCCAGCAAGCTGTACTGGGGATGATCCCTGAGCACCAGGAGGTGTGGTCCAAAAACAAAAAAAGAGAAAAATATAAGACATTATTAGCAGCTTGTAGATCGATCTGGCAATACACAGTAAAATCGCTATTATAAAATATTTCCTTCCTGAACCCACTGTTTTTTGTTTTGAATTTTATTTGGCGATAGCACGGCGGGTAGGGCGTCTGCCTTGCACGCAGCCAACATGGCCGACCCGAGTTCGATTCCTCCGCCCCTCTCGGAGAGCCCGGCAAGCTACCAAGAGTATCTCGCCCGCACGGCAGAGCCTGGCAAGCTCCCCGTGACGTATTCGATATGCCAAACACAGTAACAACAAAGTCTCCAATGGAGACGTTACTGGGCCCGCTCGAGCAAATCGATGATCAACGGGAGGGCCTTTACTTTACTTACTTTACTTTATTTGGCATGCCTGCAGGAGTCAGGAGTCATACCTGGTGACAGTGGGATTATGTGGTTCCAGGGGTCAAACCCAAACCACCTGAATGTGAAATTTGTACTCAGGGCTTGGAGCTGTCTCACCAGTCTTGGATTCACTTTCAGATATTCACCCCCAGGCAGGAGAAGGAAAAGATTGAAGGAGGGTGGGGGGAACATTGAGAGAAAAAAAAAAAAGCATATCAGCATCTTTCTAGACCAACACTTTAAAAGGCTCAGCTCTAATGGAAGAGAGGTAAAGAGATCCCAGGCATTCACTGCCCAGAGGCAGTGACTGCTTGACAGCCGAGAAAGATGTTTGCAATATTCAGCTGGGGTGGGGAAAAAACCCACATCATAAACAACTATTTAAAAATAAAGACACTGGGGCTAGAGCAATAGCACAGCGGGTAGGGTGTTTGCCTTGCACGCGGCCAACCCGGGTTCAATTCCCAGCATCCCATATGGTCCCCTGAGCATCACCAGGAGTAACTCCTGAGGGCAGAGCCAGGAGTAACCCCTGTGCAGCACTGGGTGTGACCCCCCCCCAAAAAAGCAAAAAAAATAATAATAATAAAAATAAAGACAGGGACTAGGGGGATAATACAGCAGGTAAGTACCCGGGTTCCATCCTTGGAGTCCCATATGGTTGCTCAAGCAGAGCCAGGAGTCACCCCTGAGCATTGCTAGGCATGGCCCTAAAACCAAAATAAATGAATTAAATAATAATAAAGACAGTACGACACAGATAGGAAATATTGATAAGAAAATTAAGGTGGTCGGGGCTGAAGTGATAGCACAGTGGATGGGGCATTTGCCTTGCACCTGGCTCACCCAGGTTCGATCTCCAGCATCCCACAGGGTCCCCTGAGCACCGCCAGGAGTAATTCCTGAGTGTAGAGTATCACTGGGTGTGACCCAAAAAGGAAAAAAAAAAAAAAGAAAAAAGAAAAGAAAATTAAGGTGGTTCTAACAGTATAAGGGTGGCATGAAAGTTTATTTAAAAAAAAATTTTTTTTAAGGATCATTTCCAGGATTTCCATAATGAATGTATATCTGGGGCGGGGGTTGTGTGTGTGTGTGTATGTGTGTGTGTGTGTGTGTGTGTGTGTTTGGTGGGGGAATGTAGACATTTGCAGTCGGGAAAGGGGCCTGTCAAAGGCCTCTCACTTTGCTCCACTGAGCTCCCAGCTCAGGGCTTGGCCTCTGAGCTGTGTTCTGAAGGGTGTGTGGGCTGAAAACCTCGGGTGGGTGGTCCCCCTCCTCCTCGGGTCCTGCCCTCTCCCCACCTTCTCCCTCAAGCATTAAGCCCACCCCTGGGAGGCCCCTCACAGACATCTCCAGTGTCCACGCTGCCAAAAGTTGGCCCCTGGGCAGCTGGTGGAGGTTTTCTTGATGCTAGAGGACCCCTTCCCAAGTCCACGGGGCCCCAAGAGGCCAATTGGAACGTCTCCACGGGGTCCAGGCTAGCAGGTCCCTCCTGGTCCTTCGCTCCCCTGGCCTCTTCCCGCTCTGGGGAAGGCCGGGCTAGACCTCACTATGTCGCCTCTCCTTTCAGCTCCCGGGGCCCACGGGAGACCATGGCCACCCGGCAAGTCCGGCGCAACCACCACCTGCTGTTCACGGGCATCCTGACGCTGATCTTGGTGGTCATCTTCCTGCTGTTCTACGCGCTGCTCTGGCAGGCTGGCAACCTCACGGACCTGCCCAACCTGAGAATCGGCTTCTACAATTTCTGCCTGTGGAATGAGCTGGCCAACTCCCTGCAGTGCTTCCAGTTCCCGGAGTTGGAGGCCCTGGGCGTGCCGCGGCTGGGCCTGGGCCTGGCTCGGCTGGGCGTCTACGGGGCACTGGTGCTCAGCCTCTTCGCCCCCCTGCCGCTGGTGCTGGTCTGGTGCCACCGGAACCAGGGCGAGTGGCAGCTGGTCGTGGGGCTCCTGATCACGGCCTCGTTGCTGCTGGGCAGCGGCCTGAGCCTCTTCTTCACCTGCGTGTGGCGCTGGGTGCAGATGTCCCTCCTGGGCCCCGGCTTCCTGGCGCTGGGCCTCGCCCAGGTCCTTCTCCTCCTCCTGCTGATGGCCGCGGTCACCTTCCTGCCCAGGGGGGAGAAAGGCCACAGGCAGCTGGAGAGCTGCTAGTCCCCACTAAAGGCTTATCTGACACAAGGGCTCCGCCTGAACTCTGCCGGGGAGAAGGCGCCGGAGGATGGGGGTCCCAAGGTGGGACACCTTCCCAGTCCCGCTCCCCCACCTCCTTTTAGACCCTGGGGACCCTCCCAAAAAGGCGCCAGGGGCCCGGGAGTCTGAGACCTGGACAGCCTGGCATGGGGGCCAGCCACCCCAGGAGCACGAAGCTCGGGGTTCGGGGATCCTGTCTGAGCTGACGGCGAAGCAGGCTCATCTCAGCACGGCGAGCAGGGAGGAGCCCTCACACCCCCAGCTCTGGCGATGATGCAACAAGGGACCGCGCGCGAGAGCATGCCAGGGTCCTCTGCGTTGGAGGGGACGGGGTGGGCTGTGTGTGTGTGTGACAAACCCTGCTTCCCAGACAACACCACGGCCAGAGACCCACGAGGCTCCGGGAAGCGGGAGCCTGAGCATGTGGGCAGGAACAGAGAGACATGGGTGGCTCCCGGGGGCCCAGAAACACCAGCCACCCCTGCTGGGGAGACAGGAGCTGAATCTGCCGACCCTCCACACATACACACACACACACACACACACACACACACACACACACCACGCCCCAGTCAGGCCCGGGGACACATACACACACACACACACACACACACACACACCACGCCCCAGTCAGGCCTGGACACACACACACACACACACACACACACACACACCACGCCCCAGTCAGGTCCGGGGACACATACATACACACACACACACACACACACACCATGCCCCAGCCAGGCCCGGGGACACACACACACACACACACACTCAGGAGCTGAATCTGCCAACCCTCCACACACACACACACACCACGCCCCAGCCAGGCCCGGACACACACACACAAACACACACACAAACATATCATGCCCCAGCCAGGCCCAGACACACACACACACACACAGGAGCTGAATCTGCTGACCCTTCACACACACACACGCACGCACACACACACACACATGCACCGCGCGCGTGCGGAAGAGGAAGGTGAGCAGGATGTGATGGCCCACCGGTGTGGGGAGGCCACGCCGACCACGCTGGCCTTGGGGGGACTTGCAGGAGGATTGCCCTTACCGGCTCCTGTAGATGACGACTTCACCCGCACGTCAAGGAATGGATGCTTGGGTCCCCGCGCGTCAGAGACAGAGCCGAGCGCAGTGTGACCTCCCGTCCTTGCCATCCCCTCAGGCCTCCTGTCCCACCTCTGAGTCACAGCTGGCACCTCCAGGGTGGCCTTGAGGCTGGAGGAGGAAGAGGCCTGTCTGCCGAGCCACCAGCTCCCGGGGGGCTGCGGGCAGCGAGGTGAGGGCACCCCTGATGAGCGGATCTCCTCATGACAGAAACTACTTTTTATTGGGGGCCTGGGGGGAGGGGGCCACGGCGGGCAGTGCTCAGAGGTCAACTGACGGCTCTCATCAGACAATTTTTATTTTTTTATTATCTTTTCTTTGGGGGGGGAGGGGCACCCAGTTGTGCACAGGGCTTACTCCTCGCTCTGTGCTCCAGGGATCACTCCTGGTAGAGTTCGGGAACATCATACGGGGATCGAAACCATGTCGGCCGTGGGCAAGGCAGGGCCTTTCCAGCTGTGCTATGTATGGCTCCCATCCCCTTGAATCACTTTTATCACTGGGGCTTTGTCCTTGGGGAGAGAAGGCGCTGATCCCCTCGAGGACGCAGAGTTCTTAGCAGCTTGCTCCTCTCGAAAACTCTGTCTCCCGGTTCCAATAAGCTCACCCACCTTGTCCTTGTTTTCCGTGGAACCCCAATAAATAAAGGAGACATCTGAGGTTCCAGACTGCACTCCAGAGCTGGGCCAGGGCACGGGGCCGGGAGGAATTCTCCATCCGCTGGCTCACAGCCACATCCCTTCCAGCTGGAGTCACACCTCCTCCGGGGCTCGGACAGGAAGGGGCCTTCTAGCCTCCCGGGGGACCCAGGGTGGGAGTCACACGGGCCCCCAGACCCTCCACATCTCACAACCCTCAGCCCCCACCTGGGGCCCAGACCTGGCGTCCTCCAGCTGCCTGGGACACACACACACAGAGTCTGAGAAGTGAGGCCGTCAAAGAAGATCTCTCTGGGGGCTGGAGCAATAGCACAGTGGGTAAGGCGTTTGCCTTGCACACGGCCGACCCTGGTTGGATTCCCAGCATCCCATATGGTCCCCTGAGCACCACCAGGAGTAACTCCTGAGTGCAGAGCCAGGAGTAATCCCTGTGCATCGCCAGGTGTGACCCAAAAAGCAAAAAAAAAAAAAAAAGATCTCTCTGGACACACACACACACACACAGTCCAAGCGGCGAGGCTGTCAGCTGAAGAAGATCTCCCTGACGTATTTCAGAGCGTCATCTTCCTCGGCACTTTCGTCACAGGTGGACTCACCACCCCCCGGCGCCCCCGAAGGCAGTCTGCTGCGGCCAGGGGACGGGGAGTCCTGCCTGGTGTCCTCATCCTCGCTTCTGCTTCCGGGGGACAAGGACGCCGAGCGGGTGGGGCCCAGCTCGGACTTATCAGCCTCCTCCAGGCCCGGTGGTGCCGGGGCCGCTTCCTGCTGTCGTCCCTGTACAGGGGAAGGAGGGAGGTGAAGAGATAAGGAGTCAACACCTCCAACGTGCTCCCCCAGACACTGTCCCCCAGGTCCCCCGCTGCGCTGGAGGGCGCCCTTTGCTCCCCGCTCCTCCCGGCTCTAGAAGAAATCCTGACCAACTTGGGAGAAATTGCAGGTCCAGGCCTGAGCGGTGGACAGGGGAGAAGGGAAACATGGGGACCCTGATGTGGGATGGCCAGGCTGCGGGCCAAGGGGGCCCCAAACCCCAAGGGGTGACCGGAAACTGGAACTGAGGCACATCTCTGGCGTGTCCACTAGGGGGAAGGGGGGGGGTCCCTGAAACACCCACGCAGCCAGAGAACAGCAAGGACTCAGCCTCGAGAGGGGGGACCAGAGAGAGAGAGAGAGGTCAGGGATCAGACACCACATCTGGCCCCCAAAGCCCCCAGGGGGGCACCCTGAGCACCACCAGCTGTGGCCCCAAAAACAAGAAGGCGCTGGGAGGTTGGCAGGTTGGCAGCGACAGCAGGGGGCACCACGGGTGGGGTTTTTTTTTTTTTTGGTTTGTTTTGCTTTTTGGGTCACACCATTGATGCACAGGAGTTACTCCTGGTTCTGCACTCAGGAATCACCCCTGGCGGTGCTCGGGGGACCCTACGGGGTGCTGGGGATCGAACCCAGGTTGGCGGTGCACAAGGCAAATGCCCTACCCGCTGTGCTATTGTTCCAGCCCCACAGTGACGGTTCTTGGGGGTCCAGGGAGTGTTCTCCTCAGGGGACCTTTCACGGAGCCTGAATCACGCTCCCTTTCCTGTCCCCACACCCGCACATGGTGAGTTCCCCCCACCCCCGTCAGGGACGCTGTCCCCATCAGTGGCCCGGCCCCCTGGGGCTCAGTGCACACCCCCCCCATGGAGAGACCAAAGGGCAGGGGCCATGGGGGGCATGCCCGCCTCCCCCCCATTCCCCCCTGTACCTCAAGCAGGACCCCTAGCGCCACGTCCACCAGCTCCGCCTCACTCATGCAGTACACGGTCCTCTTGGCAGGGTGTCTGAAACAGAGGCCGAGGCTGCTGTTGGGTCCCTGGGACGGGGGGGGGGGGGGGGGGTCACTGAGGCCAGAGGCGCCCCTTCCCCCGGGGCCCAGGCCTGAGGGGGGTCTCCTCCTAATAGGGGCTCCCCAGACTCCCCCTGGTTCCAGGGCAGGAGTCATAGAGGCCTGCAGACTGAGCACCTGCCGGATGCCAAGGTGCCCGGAGATCCCCAATGGCAAGGAAGGGGAGGGCCCGGGACTCCGGGGACCCCGCTGTGACCATCACGCAGCTACAGTACCCCCCTTCCCCAGTGACACCAGGCTGGAACCAGCATCTGCCTGCCCGCTCCATGGCACCAGCTTTGCTCCAAACGTGGGCAGTGTGCTGGGCAGAGGCCACTGCTCTCTGGAGCCTGGCACCCAGGCCTGAAGGCAGAGGCAGGTGTGCAGACCGTCAGAGTGGGGTTGGGGTGGGGAGCGTGGTTTGCTTTGTTGCTGCAGCCCTGGCATCCCAGAAACACCAGCTCCCCTCGGGATCCTGCCCTCCCCGGCAGAGCTGGTGCCACCTCAAATCCCTTTATCCGCCCCCCCCCCCCACCTCAAAGGCTTTTGAACCTTGCTGCGGAGGCTGGCTGGACCACCTTCCTCTTCTTGGGCTTCCTCGCCACCGGCGTGCTCCCCTGCGCTGTCATCCAGTGGGGAAGGACCCTCCTTTTAGGTTCAGACTCGGAGGCCTCCATCTTGCCCCTCTGGCACCAGGAGTCGAGGGGAGGCGGGGGCGGGGGGTTGGGGGAGGCCCAGTCCTTCAGCAAATCCCTATCTCATCGCACAGGAACTGAGGTTCCGGGGGAGTCCAGAAGGGGTGTGTAGGGGGCAGAGGGGTGGGTTCCCATCCTGCAAAGAGCAGAAGCCAGTGAGCAGGAGTGAGCAAAGCAGTTTGAGATGAGCTCCACTAGGGGTGACCAGGTCAAAGGGGTTAGGGCATGGGGAGGGGGGGCAAGGTACCATTGGGGTGGGGGCAGGCAGGGTGAGCCGGGGTCTGCACACTGCACAGACCACATGGGCAGCCAGGAACCGCAGCATATGCTTCCCTAGACACCGGGGAGGAGAGGGCCAGAGCCTCTCTGAAAGAAAGGGGGCTCCCCACTATCCCCTTCACCCCAGATGTCCTGAGTGAACAGGGCACCCTCCCCTAAAATACTCACCCTGGTCTCAGGCAACCCCACACTTCCCATTTCCTCTTCTTGACTTACCAGAAACTGTGTGTTGGGGGGGAGGGGGGAGGAAGAACACGAGAGGGGGGGGGGCGGACCAATAGCAGAGCGGGTAGGGCGTTTGCCTTGCACACGGCTGCCCCGGGTTCGATTCCCAGCATCCCATATGGTCCCCAGAGCACCGCCAGGAGGAATTCCCGAGTGCCAGGAGGAATCCCTGAGCATCGCTGGGTGTGACTCAAAAAAGCAAAAAAAAAAAAACTGTGGGGCCACCACTAAATGGCCAGCACACCCACCCCCTTCATCCCAGAATTCTGACCCTGGATTTAAGAGGAGGGGGCGCCAGATCCCCCCATCACTCCCTTATACCCACGCACTACACTAGACTCCTCCCGTGGCTGAGCCTGCGCGCTGGGGGCCCCTCCCTTTAGGGCCCAGGCTCGCCGGGACCGGAGGTTTAGGACCCCCATCAGGATCCGCCGTGGTCCTGGGGGGCGGGGGGGGGGCCGAGCACAAGGAAAGCGGCAGCCTCAGCGCCCGTTGGACCCCGGAGGCGGGTAGGAGGGAGGTCGCTTTGCAAAGGAGGGGCCGAGAGCCTGCAGGATCGCCCACCCCCAAAGCTGGCGATCGGCCCGGAGGGGGTCCTACAGACGACCCCTCCCACCCCCCAGCGCCGGTGCCCCCCCACCCCCAGGGCCTCCCCTTGCCCTGCGCTGCGGGGATCTGGCCACAGCACTGTCGGGGCGGAAGCAGCTGTTGCTCCGGCTGGGGGGTCCCGGCGCTGCGACGCGTGCACGGCTCCTGGGAGGGGCGGTGGTCGCCAGCCCGCAGCCCGCAGCCCGCGACCCCCGACCCGGGTTGCAGGCCCGACCCGCGGCCCGGTCGACCGGTGCACGCGCCGCTTCCGGCCGGCCGTGCTCCCGTCCCCCTCTCGAGTTCCGGGCCGGCCGGGCAGGCGGGAGCAAAACGGCGGTGGAAACCGAGACCCCCGAGAGCCCCCACCCCCTCCTCGCGCGCCCCGCGCCCCGCGCGCACCTGGGCCGGCCCGCCGCGCGCTCCGCTCCTGCCCGGGCCCGCGCGCGCTTCCGGCTCGGGCGCGCCCCCTGCAGGCCGCCCGCGGAAGGCGGCCCCGCTGTCCCGGGTGCTGACGGCCCCCTGGGACCCGCCCCCCAGCCCCCCACACCTGCTGCCAGACTGCTGACTGGGGGCTGGCTCCCGCTCAACCCCGCGTGCAGCACCCCCCCCCCAGTCCCCAGCCCGAGCCGCATCCCGCCCCCACTGCAAACCCCGGGGTGCTGGGGCGCTGGAACACTCACCCACCCCCATTTTTTTTTTTAAAAAGATAACATTTTCATTAACATTCTTGGCCATTTCCATCAGCAACCAGAGAAGCAACTGCCTTTCTTCTCTTGGGACTGTTTTACCCGCCTTTTACCCCGTGAAAGCAGTGTGTATTTGCTTTTTTTTTTTTTTTTTTTTTTTTTTTTTTTTTTTTTTGCTTTTTGGGTCACACCCTGCGATGCACAGGGGTTATTCCTGGCTCATGCAGTCAGGAATCACTCCTGGCGGTGCTCAGGGAACCATCTGGGATGCTGGGAATCGAACCTGGTTCAGCTGCGTGCAAGGCAAATGCCTTATCCACTGTGCTATCGCTCCAGTCCCAGCAGTATGTATTTGAAATAAAATAGACTATCCTGAGCCATCCCAAGGTCACTGTTAATCCAGACTGATGAGCAGAGATTCAAGAGTTTATCATGTGATGATTGCCACTCATTGCCTCTTTTGCAAACCACAGCACCCAAAGGAAGAGAGAGAACAAAAGGGAATGCCCTGCCACAGGGGTTGGGTGGGATGTGGGGGTGGAGGGTGGGAGGGATACTTGGATCATTGGTGATGGAGAATGGGCACTGATGGAGTGATGGGTACTCGATCATTGTATAACTGAAACCCAAGGACAAAAATTTGTAAGTCTACAACTGTACCTCACTCATGGTGTTTCACTAATAAAAATAATTAAAAAAATGTTTATCATGTGAGAGACAGGTTTCCAAGTAAGAGGATGGTTCTTACTAAGGTGGAAGGGGAGGGGTGGCACCATAGCACAGCAGATTGGCTGCTTGTCTTGCATGCCCCCAACACGGGTCCAATGCCTGGCATCCCATTTGATGCCCTGAGCCCCACCAGGAATCAAGCTCCTCACCTTATTTTGATTTTGGGGGGTGGGGTCACACCTGGTGGTGCTCAAGGAGTTACTCCTGCCTCTGAGCTCAGTGATCACTCCTGGTGGCACTCAAGGGACCATAACAGGGTGTGGGGGACCGAACCCAGGTTGTCTGCAAATAAGGCAGGCGCCCTCCCCGCTGTACTACCATTCCGGTCCCTCCTCGCATCTTTAATAAAACGTTTTCGCTGTTCTTTAACAAGTCTCCTAGGTTTGTGGGGGAAGAAGGGGAGGGTCCACACCTGGCAATGCTCAGAGGTACCTCCTGGCAGGCTGCAAGGGGACCATATGGGATGTCAGGGTTGGAACCTGGATCGTCACGTGCAAGGCAAGTGCCCTGCCTGCACTCTGATCTCTCCATCCCCATCGTAAATTTATTTTAAAATTTCACATAATTTGCTTTTGACTCCCCACAAACGACTGTGAAGTTTACTGGTGGGGCTTTATTTTTTTACTTTTTGGGTCACACCCGGGAATGCACAGGGATTACTCCTGGCTCTGCACTCAGGAAATACTCTTGGCAGTGCTCGGGGAACCATATGGGATGCTGGGAATCGAATCCGGGTTGACTGCGTGCAAGGCAAACGCACTATCTGCTGTGCTATCGCTCCAGTCCCTAGTGGGGCTTTATTTTAAAGAATCGGTTTCCTGGGCATGAATAAGTAATTAGGGGGAGCTAAGTGAAGTATCTACCACCCCACCCCTGCCATGATCTACTAGTGAGGTGAGGGGGGGTTCCCACAGGAACAGTTCAAGCCCCCTCACTGGGGAACACGGATCCAGCAGAGGGGCGTATAGGGGAAAGGGTCCCAAAGATGCCTGCAGCGCTGCCATGACTGTCAATTAAACCATATTCAAGCGTAGGTGCCAGGGACCGACTGTTAAATCCTGTGCTTACTTACCTCTGCTCTCTCCCTGTGGGGTTCCAACATCCGGTACTCAGCTGGGACTGCATGTCTGCACAGAGCAGCCCCCGGGGTCCTGCCCAGGTGAAGTTTCAGTTGCATCAAAATAGTGTCATGGTGGGGACCGATGCTGATCCCCAGACATGGAATGACCCGCCATGTGCAACCTCAGGACACACTAGCTCAGGAACGACCCCCACCCCCTTCACTTGGGAAGCAGGTTCGGGCAGCTTGGCCGGGCGCTCTGCAGCTGTGGGGAGCTCGGTCTCTCCAGAGCACCTGCACCCCTCTTCCTGAGCATGCACCCTCGACTCTAGGGAAGAAGTTGGGCTGGGAAAATTTAACATGTGTTTCCTGGTGAGTACCACCGGTGGCTCACGTGTGGCTGTGGCTTCATAATCCCACACTGCCTGCATCAACAATGTGTTACGCTCGAAGAGAGAAATGGATGGATTTTGATGCCCAAACCCATCTGCTGAGGGTCAGGCTGAGTTTAAGAAGGTGGGACCTGGGCTCTGTCGGTCACCTCTAAGGCACTCCGGGTGGCACCTGCTCCAAGTCCAGGCCTCTGAGGCCCTCCCCCTCAGGACACAGAAGCATCACCTCCCTTCCCCCCTCCCGGTGAGGCTTTCTGTGGGTTGAGGAAGGGAACCCTGAGAGCTTTGGGGATGCAGGGCTGAAGCACTGTGAGTACTGATGAGGGACAGGTGCTGGAACACCGTACGATTGAAACCTAACCACAAACAGCTTTGCAAGGGTCTCTCTCACGTGATTCAATAGAAAAACCTACTTAAAAAAAAATGAAGACTGGGCTGGAGCGATAGTACAGCAGGTAGGGTATTTGCCTCGCACACAGCCAACCCAGGTTTAATTCCCAGCATCCCATATGGTCCCCTGAGCACTGCCTGAGTGCAGAGCCAGGAGTAACCCCTGAGCATCGCCGGGTGTGACCCAAAAAGAAAAGAATGAAAAAAAAAACATGAAGACAAGGAGACAAGATCAGTGCAAGTCTGAGCTTTGGTCCTTGGGCGGGAGGACTAACAGGGAGCAAGGGTGGGGGTGTGATTACTGTGGTGTCCAGCATCGGCTCCAAACTGTGCCCCACACCTGCCTCCCGGCATTTTCCCCAACTCCCAGATGACTGGAGTCTAGGTGTCAGAACAAATTTTCCAAAGAGTGGACAGCCAGGGTACCCTTCTCCTAACCTGCACCCAAGGACTCCGCAACGACTGTTCTAAGCAACCTAGCCTCAAATCTCCCTTTCCCTTGCACCCCTCCCCCAATCTGCTTCCCAGCTCCCGTGGGCATCCCTGGAAGCCAAGGGCTGGCTCTGTCCTTCCTCCTTCCCGTGGGAGCAGCAAAGCCCCACGAGACCCGGGGAGAATGTGGCAGGCCAGAATCCCAACTCCAGGCCCAGCTGAGGTCCTGTCCTCTGGCCACTCGCCAGCAGAGGGCAGTAGAGGCTGGCTGGTTCCACTTCAAGGCCCAGAAACAGAAAGAAATTAGGGCCACCAGGTGGATGTCAGAGGGACTGGGAAAGGCGGCCACCCTGAGGGAGAGGGGGCAGCCACCCAGCCACCCATCCACCCACCCACACCCACACCCACCCTCCACATCACATAAGGCGGCCACCCCAAGGGAGAGGGGGCAGCCACACACACACACACACACACACACACACACACCCTCCACATCACATACCATCCATATACGACATACACACACCAGACATGTATACACACCAGACACAGACCAGACACACAAAGCACACGTCACACACACATGCACACATATCACATAACCATCCATATACCACATACACACACCACACTGCACATGTACACACCACAGCACACACACACACCCCACATCACATACTATCCATATACCACATACACACACATGTATACACACCACAGACACAGACCAGACACACACAAAGGACATGTCACACACACACACACACACACACACCATACATACACCATACATACCACCCATATACCACATACACACACCAGGGACATATCACACACACATCGCATCACATCCATATACTACATACAAGCAACACAACACACATGTACTCACACCACAAACACAAACAAACCATGCACATATCAGGGACATATTTCACACGCCCCTCCCACATACATATGCCATCCATCTATCACTTATACACACCACACATACCACACCCCCACACACACACCCTACATGTATACATCACACAAACCACGCACACCCTACACACATACGTGACCTGCGCCAGACACGTACCACATACAGCACAGACAGGCCACACACCTGCATCACACACCTCCCAGTTCACAGGCCACCACCAGAGCACTCTCTGTAATAGTCTTTTTTTTTTACAAAAGAAGGAATGGGGCAGGCTCCCGGGGCGCCCACTCGGGTCCTCGCTGTCGGCCAGCGCCCAGCCAGTCTCTCCCTGCAGGCTTGGCCGGCAGCTCCCGGCCTGGGCTAATACTGCTTCTGGGAGGCCTCAGACTTTGTGGGCCAGGAGAGTGGTCAGCTTGATCTTGCCGTCCATGGAGGCGGTGAGGCAGATCCCGCAGTCCATGGCGGTGCTCCAGTCCACGGTGACCACGGGGGCACGGTGGCCACCCAGGCTCAGGCAGCTCTCTAGAACCTTCTCGTCCCCACCCAGCTGCAAAGAGAGGAGACAGAAGAGGGTGTCAGCAGGCACTGTGCAGACATGTCCACTCGGGCCCTTCCCGCGGCCAAACCGCCCACACCTGGGCACCGCCACGCCGGTCCAAGGGGGTGCCCAGAGCCCAGATGCCCCCACCCCCACCGCACGGCACGGAGCAGGACACGCCTTCCGGTCCCCACGGACCCAACATGGAAAGCCAGTCCCTGCTCTACTCCGGACACTTCCCTGGTCACCTCCCGGCCCCCTCAACTGCTCCCGTGACTGAGGATAGCCTTTTCCCAGGGACACCGGCCATGGGGGACAGCTGTTTTCCGCCCTCAGACCAGGACGAGAAAGCAGCAAGGACAATGGGCAGGAAGGCAGGAGTGAGCCCCAGGTCCGCCAGGCACAAGGAGACATGCAGGGGGCACAGTCCTCCTCCCCACCCGAAGCTGCCTCTAGAGTAGAGGGGGCCGCCAGGTGTCCCTGAGTCCCACAGAGTGGACCCCACTAGTGACACGTAAGGGGTTCTACAGAGGAAGAGCCTTCAGCCCATTCACCGTTAACAAGCAAGTCTGCCTGCAAATTCCCACAGACTGCTCAGGACAGCGGGCAAAGGCCGCCTGGGTAAAACCAGAACACCGGGCTGGCGAGAGCATAGAGGGGAAGGCGCTTGTCTCACAAACACGGCCAGCCTGGGCTCGAACCACTCCCCCCAGCCCCCCCCCCCCCCCGGCCCCACCGTACCTTGTAGATGACGCCCCCCGTGGCAGAGCACGTCAGCATGTAGTTGCCCTCCGAGTCGAAGGCGAAGAGCCGGCCCCGCGGGACCTGCACCTGCTTGTAGCCGCTGTACCCCGACAGCACGAAGGGGCCGGTGGCGTCGGCGGGGAGCCCGTACTCGGACACCTTCTGGCCGCTCTTGTGGATGTTCCACTGGATGAACTGCAAGCACAAGGCAGTCACAGTCACAGTCTCCCGGGCCCCTGCAGACACCATCTCACCCCAACACAATTCCTCCCACTTCCTCTTCCCTCCCCTTCTCTGCTTCCTTCCTCCCTCTCCTTCCCCACTCCTCCTTCCTTTTCCCCTCCCTCTCTCTTTCAACCTCCCCTCCCTTCCCTTTCCTTTCTCCCTCTTTCCTTCCTTCCTTCCTTCCTTCCTTCCTTCCTTCCTTCCTTCCTTCCTTTCTTCCTCCCTCCCTCCCTTCTCTCTCTCTCTCTCTCTCTCTCTCTCTCTCTCTCTCTCTCTCTCTCTCTCTCTCTCCCTCCCTCCCTCCCTTCCCTCCCTCTCTTTCCCTTTCTCTCAGGAAATGTAGCCCAGAGTTCACTCCAGTCTGAGCCTGAACTTCCCCTCTGGCTGCGGCCCAGGGGACAGCAGGGGTCACTGAGTGCCCCAGTTTGCACCCAGAAAGTGCTCATTCACAGGGCTGTCACTGTCCTGGGGTCAGAACCCAGCTGGAGTTTTCCGACTGGGCGACAGAGTACACACAGTGTACTCTGGACAGTGCTGAAGGATGTTGTCAGTGGCCTCGCATGTGCAGCTAAGCCCCAAGACAGGCCACTGAGACCCTCTCCAGATAGGGGCCGGAGGTCTTTGCAGGGGTGATGGGCCCCGCACACAGCTGGACCCTGTTTCCTCCCTGCCACCACACGGTCCTCCCAAGCAAGGACTAGGGACAACCCTGTAGGGCCCCCCAAATGCCTGTGCGGTCCCGCATGCCTGGCTCTTCAGGGCCCCACATACTGAACCCCAGACCTGCTGGCTGGGAACCCCCGGGAAGGGTCCAGGGGCCTCCTGAGGGTCGACACACAAAATCTCAAAACCTACCAGACAAATGAGAGCTCAGACTGTCATCTCAAAGGCCCTGCCCCACAAGGAGTGTCCGGGGGGGCGCAGAGGGCAGTTAGGGGAGAGAAGGGACCAGTATGACAATCAGAGTTGAAAATCGTCATTTTGGTGGGGCTGGAATAATAGTACCGTGGATAGGGCGTTTGCCTTGCACGCGGCCGACCCGGGTTCGATCCCCAGCATCCCATATAGTCAGTCCCGAGCACCGCCAGGAATAATTCCTGAGTGCAGAGCCAGGAGGAACCCTTGAGTATCTCCAAGTATGACCCAAAAAAGCAAATAAAAAAATAAATAGTCATTTTGGACAGGAACTAGGTGTTGAAAGTTGGTCAAGGGATATGACTGATTACCTTTTAGTATCTGTTTTGCAAATCATAATAGGAGAGAGAGCAAGAGGGGGGGGAAGAGAGAGAGAGAGAGAGAGAGAAAGAGAGAGAAGAGAGGAGAGAGGAGAAAGAGGGAGAAAGAGGGAGAGAGGGAGAACAAGAGAGAGAGCAAGAGAGAGAGGGGGGGGAGGAAGAAAGACAGCAAGAGAGAGAGAGAGAGAGAGAGAGAGAAGAGAGAGAGAAAGAGAGAAGAGAGAGAGAGAGAGAGAGATGCCTGCCATAGAGGCAGGCGGGGGCTGAGGGAAACTGGGTGCACTGGTGGGAAATGTGCACTGGTGAAGGGACTGGTGTGGGAACACTGTAGGACTGAAACCTAACCAAGAACAACTCTGTAACTGTGTATATCACTGTGATTCAATTAAAAAAAAATTTTTTTAAATACTTTTCTGGGGCTGGAGCGATTGCACAGCAGTAGGGTGTTTGCCTTGCGCGCTGCCAGCCTGGCCAAGCCGGGTTCGATTCCTCCGCCCCTCTAAGAGAGCCCGGCAAGCTACCGAGAGTATCTCGCCCGCACGGAAAAGCCTGGCAAGCTCCCTGTGATGTATTCGATACGCCAAACACAGTAACGACAAGTCTCACTATGGAGACGTTACTGGGCCCGCTCGAGCAAATCGATGAACAATGGGAGGACAGTGCTACAGTGTTACAATACTTTTCTACATTTCTTGGGTTTGGGGTCACACCTGATGGTGTTCAGGGCTTACTCCTAATGGGGCTCAGGGGACAAAATGGGGTGTCAGGGACTGAATCTGGTTGGCCATGTGCCAGGCCACCGCATTACCTGCTATTCTACCTCTCCCACTCTTCCTGGGGCCAGAGAGGTAGTACAGTGGGCAGGGCGCTTGCCCTGTACATAGCATCCCGGGTTCAATTCCCCGCATATGGTCTCCCGAGCACCGCCAGGAGCAATTCCTGAGCGGAGAGCCAGGAGCAACCCCTGGTGGGTGACACCACCGGGTGCGGCCCAAACCCCTGAACCCTCTCCCCCCGAGAAATACCAAGCAAAGAAATCTCCTTTATCCAAGGACAAATCAGAGCAAGACAAAGACGGGAAGCGTGTGAGCGTTGACAGGACCACTCACCCTTCCTCCCACCTGCCCGGCCCACCCAGGTGCTCGCCAAGAGCCCGAGCATGTCCCTCAGACGGTGGGAGAGAACCGCAGGCAGGTACTTGGGTCTGGGCTGCGACTCTGCCCAGACTGACACACACGGTCTCCATGCGGGGCCACTCGATGCCCGGGCCCATGGTGGTGGTTCCCCCTTGCCAGAACATAGAAACCCACTCTTAAGTGCTCAGAGACACCCTCCCCCGCCCCCCGAGATCCTAGGAGATTACTCTCTGCTACAACCCCCTCACCCCTATTTCACTGCTGACAAGCCTGCAGGCCCCCCAGAGCCAGTGCCCGCCCTACCTTGCCGTCCTCGCCGATGCTGTACACTGTGTTCTCGTCGTAGCTGAACTCTACCGAGTAGACCTCGCCGCAGTGGGCCTGCCAGCTCATGGCGCACTCGTGCTGCTGCATATCTGTGACATGGACAGGGGCTAAGTCCAAGCCCTCCTGTGCCTAACCAGAGTCACCCTGCCCACCCCTGCACCCCAGTCCCCGGGGTCACCCTGCCCACCCTCTCACCCCAGTCCGTTCCCTTGGCCGATTCTCTCCGGCACTGCCTCGACTATACTATGGGGTCTAACTTCACCAGAAGCGGCTATCCCCTCCCGGCCTGGGTCGCACAGAACACCTGCCCATGACCCAGTCCCATTCCAGAAGCTTCCCTGAGTCTTCTGGGACAGGCATGACTCTGGGATCTTGGACCATTTGCTTGGCCGTGATGCTTGGGCAGGGAGAATGCCCGCTCCATGCCAAGGGGACGGGCCGGCTCTCATCTCCTCTCCTCCCGGCTCTGCTCCCCAGTGGCCTGTCGGGGGACCCCACCCTCCATGGACTCTCCTAGGAGGTATGTCAGGAGGTGCTCGGGGAAACGGCAGACCAGCCTGAAGCTTAGCCCTGTCACCACCACCTTCTGCATGAGCTTCTCCTCCAGCTGGGGAAAAGCCGACTCAGGCCTCCGGGGCGTTTGGGGAGTCTCGGGGTGGCGGGGGTGGGGCACACATGCTCACCAAAGAGCCGGATGACGCCGTCGGCCGCACCGGTAACCAGCAGGTTTCCGTTGTGGTTGAAAGCGGTGCAGTTGATGGCGATGGGTTCCGGGTCCAGAGAGAACTGCAGCTGCAGGGGAGAGAAACGTCAGAGCCGAGTGAACCCATGTTCAAGGGAAGTCCCTTAGGGGTGTGTGGTTTGAGGGCCACACCCCGTGTGCTCAGAGCTTACTCCAGGCTCTGTGACTAAGGATCACTCCTGGTGGGGTTCGGGGGACTAGAGGGGGTGCTAGGGATTGAGCCCTGGGGTTACACTTGCTCTTCTGCCCCTCTGTACACAATCTCTCTGGCCCAGGGACAGTATTTTAAGTGCTTGTCTTAGATTTTTCTTCTTACCAGATCTGTAGGTATCTTTTATACGTAGCCAATATTTCATGAGAAATTTTCTGTCACTGTCACTGTCCTCCTGTTGTTCATCAATTGTGCTCGAGTGGGCCCAGTAACACTGTGAAACTTGTTACTGTGCTTGGCATATGAAATACGTCATGGGTAGCTTGCCAGGCTTTGCTGTGCAAGCAAGATACTCTCGGTAGCTTGCCGGGCTCTCAGAGAGGAGTGGAGGAATCAAACTCAGGTTGGCCGTGTAGGCCACGTGCAAGGCAAACGCCCTACCCATTGTGCTATTTATTTTTTTTAAATTTTTTTTTTGGGGGGGAGTGGGGGGTGGAGTCACACCCGGCAATGCTCAGAGGTTATTCCTGGCTTTGCACTCAGGAATCACTCCTGGCGTTGCTTGGGGGAACCATAGGGCATGCTGGGGATCAAACCCAGGTCGGCCACGTGCAAGGCAAACGCCTGCCCTGCTGTATGTAGTATCTCTCTGTTAGAAATTTTAAAAGTCATGAACAAAGTCGTTAGAAAGTCACGAATCCCCAACAACGCTCCCAAGGGAAACAGATGCTGACTGCTTAGAGGGGCTGAATTACGCTGGGTTGTGCAAGAGAGAGCAACAAAGAAATACTGGCAGACAGACATTTGTCAGGAAGTGAGAGAAGAAAGTTCTAGAGAAGAGAGAACATGCACCCAGGGCTAGTGTCTATCAGATTGAAGGTGCGGAAGGCAGAGGCCGCGGGATCAGTGAAGGGCGAGCCCCAAGGCCATGAACAGGGCAGCTTGACGGCCTGAGGCCTGGCCCACAACAGGATGGGAAGGGCCTGGAGCAGGCGGACACCCTGCGAGCAGATGCTGAAGATATCCAGCAGAGGGCGCGAGAGAGCAGGGCTCCGGCCCAGCAGGGGAAATGCAGGGATGTGGTCAGGTGCCCGCAGTTTCCTCAACCAGTCCATACCTGCGGACTGGCACCTGTCCCGGGTATTGGGGCCAGCGTTATAACCCCGACACGTGGTTTTCAACGCCTGTAGACCAACACTGAACCTCAGGCTGGTGGCAGAAAAAAAAAAAACAGAAAAGATGGAGGCTGGAGAGGGAGTGCAGGGAAGGTGTTTGCCAACCTGGGTTCGATCCCCGGCATCCCATATGGTCCTCCCAGCACCACCAGGAGCAAGTCCTGTGTGCAGAGCCAGGAGCAACCCCCCTGAGTACTGCTTGGTGTACAACTCTCCCCCCTCCCCTCTCCCCGCAAAAAGAAGAAAAAAAAAAACAAGTGCTGGACGAGAACGTTCTGGAGGTACAATGAATGGATGGTGTGGGCTCTGCAGGGGAGGAGACGAAAGGCCCAGGAAGACACCCCATTGCAGTGTGGGATGCACTCGCCAAGATGAAGAAAGCACTGAGAGGAGAAACCCCGGTGGCCGGGGTGGCCATGAGGGGCAGCAGACAGCCGGGAGATGTCCAAATGGGAACGGATGCCAGAACTAGACAGGTCCGGGCAGACAGAATCCTCAGGAGACGCCCCCTCAATCCCACAGGGGTCTCCTGGGGCCAGAGCTACAGTATGGCAGATAGGTTGAGTGCTTGCCAGGTTCCCTGGCAGCTCATCTGGTCCCCTGAGCCCAGAAGGAGTGATACCTGAGTGCAGTCAGGAGTAACCCCCGAGCACCACCAGGTGTGGCCCCAAAGCATGAGGAGGAAAAAAAAAAAGACAGGGTCCCCCAGCAGTTATATGCATGACAGAGTACCCAGGGGCCTCTGAATACGGGGACAAAGTGACCGTTTCCTCCCTCTGCAGTGTCTCGATGTTACTCCTATATAGCCCATAGGAATGTCTGGTGACAGCAGGATTTGGGACAGATACAGAGAGGGGACTTAATTTGGCGAAAGGATTGATGGGAAGGGAAAAGGAAAAAATAAACACAGGCTCCAAGTGGCCCTGAATACCAGAAACATTTGGAAATCCTTGCTGGTCACCAACGCCAAGTCACCAGGACAGGCAAGTGTGAACAACATGCACCTCTGCTAGGCCAGGCAGACTCGGTCTCCTGACAGAGGGGGACCCTGGGCCCTCCAGGCCAGTGACCACTCCCTAACACAGTGCCACGCTGCCACTGTGACTCGTGACGACAGGGAGAACAGGGGAGGCTCTGGTCTTCTCTTAAGACACACCTAAGGGCTGAAGCAATAGCACAGCGGGTAGGGCGTTTGCCTTGCACGCAACCAACCCAGGTTCGATTCCCAGAATCCCATATGGTCCCCCGAGCACCGCCAGGAGTAATTTCTGAGTAAAAGAGCCAGGAGTAACTCCTGTGTTACTGGGTGTGATGCAAAAAAAAAAAAAAAAGACACACCTAAAACACAGGCGCTCAAGGCGAACATCCCTCTGAGGTCGTAGGGTCCCAGCATGGCAGGCTGGCAGAAGGCTAACTATTCAGCGTCATTATCCCCGGCTGCTCCAGAGAGCTGGTCCGCCTGCCCAATGCCCCGAGTTCGACCCCCAGCATCGGATGCCCCCAGCACTGCCAGATGTGACTTTGGTGAGCCCTGAGCACGAGTGGGCCCAAGCACTGACACACCAGGCCCACACGGCCAGACCAAGTAGCACAGGACACGGCCTCGGGGCGCCCGAGCAGCCCCACTTGGAAAGGAAGAAGATGTATTAAAAGACAAGAAAACCAAGGTTGCCAAGATGTGGCGGGAGGGTGGAAGGGCAGAGTGGGGAGGACCCTGGAGGGCGAAAATGTCCTGTATGACACTATGATGGCGTCAACATGCCCCAAACCCACAGAACGTCCAGGGCCAAGGGTCAGCCCTAATGGCCACAAGGACTGGGGTGATTACATACGCCAACAGAGGTTCCCCAGCTGTAATAAAGCTTCAGCCCCAGTGGAGATGCTGATAACTGGAGAGGCTGTGTATGTGTGTGTGTGTGTTTATGTGTGCGTATATGTGTTTGTGTGTGTATATATATGTGTGCGTGTATTTGTGTGTGCATGTGTGTGTTTTTGTGTGTATGCATGTGTGTGTGTTTGTGTTTGTATGTATGTGTGTGCGTGTCTGTGTGTTTGTGTAGGTGTGTGTGGAGGGTGTAAGCCCTAGAGCTCAATAAAGATATAGGGAATCTCTGTACCTTAGAAATATAGATAAGGAGGTCACCAAAAAAGGTGAGTGGAGGGTCACAAAGTGGGGAAAGGTGATCCCAGCTGACGGAGGGAGGGGGGGGGAAGTGGCGAGGCTGTAATGGGCTGCGTGACACGTTTCCGGGAGCAGAGGAAAAGGCCCCCCTTAAACCCACACTTCTGCTCTCCGAGCACACTGCACACCAAGGCTCAATTAAACAGGATACAGGAAAGAAGTGGATGAAGAACACAGGAGTGGACGCCCCGGGGCTGTGCTCGTGGGTACCTGCTGCTTCATGGACTTCGTGTCCCACAGCAGCAGCCGGCCGGGGACCTGCGGGGTGCTCCTGCCGCCTTCCAGGCCCGACGTGTCCACCTGGGAGGCCAGGCTGGGCGCTACTGCCGCTGCAGCCGAACACACAAAGGAGGCCCCGCTGGGGCTGCAGGCCAGAGACAGGATCCTGTGACAATATACATTGGGGGACCCCTCAGTAAGGACGGATTCCGGACAATGGGGAGGGGACGGAATATATGGCAAAGGCAGGACAGTACCCGGAGTGGGCGTGCCAGGGGCGGGGCGTACCAGGAGTGGGTGTGTTCAGGGGGCGGGGCTTATCCAGGAGAGGGCATGTTGGGAGCGTGGTGTCTAGGAATGGGCGTGGCCTGGGCGGAGCATAACCCGGAGTGGGCGTGTCAGGGGCGGGGCATGTCAGGAAGGGGCGGGGCATGCAGGAACTGTGGGCCCAGAGGAAGGGGGCGTGGCCGCGGGCTCACCTGGGCATGTCCTCATTGATGTTGATTTCACAGAGATTCTTCTTGGCTTCCGTGTCGTAGAGGCGCACGGTCCCCACACCACTGCCCAGCAAGAGCTGCAAATGACCACAGGCAGATACAGGGTTCCGGAGGGCATGCATCTGAGAGATGAGGTCTGGGCAGGTCACAAGGGGATCAGAGACCCCGCTGCTGACTCAGTGAAATCTAGCTAAAAGGAACTTCTTAAGAAAAAAAAAAAGGCATAGGCACCTACTCAGAATGGATGCAAACCCCACGAAAGGCACCTGTGGGCTGGGAGGGGGCTAGATCAGCTCCCTGGGAACGTCCCCGATTGCATGAGGGGAAGGAAAGTCCCTTCTACCTCCTTCAACCTGTTTGTGTTCTAAATCCCAGCCATCCTCACTTGCTGCTCCTGACCTACCACCACAGCCATGGCCATGGGTCCCTAGCTGACGTCAGTTTTCTCTCTCACCTCGGCATCCCACTGTCAAATAAAAACTCCAGGATGAGTACTGGAACTTGGGATCCCCAGAAAGATAATCCTTCCCGCTGTCAAAGGTCTTAAACGAAGCCTTAAACAAGGTCTGCACCCAGGACACAGCTCCAGTGCTAGAGCATCAGCTTGTCTGTGAGACCCAAGTCTGCTCCTGCCGCAGACCCCCACCCCCAAAAGCCCTGGTGGACCCTGTTGAAAAGCAAACCAACCCCAACACAAAGCAATGCAGATCAAGGGTTACCCACCTTAGATCTCCTGGTACAAGCCCCCCAACGTGGAAGGCAACGAAAGAACCAGCCATGTGTTGATTTTTATCTCAACTACAAATCCTACCCCGAATTCTAGAATCTAGATGGGAAGGGGACACTTGAACTGCGATTCTGGGGGCCATGACTGAACAGCCCACCCCTCCCTCCATCAGCTGAGGCTGCCTGGCGTAGGGAGAGCCCGGGCGGGAGGAGGAACAGGTGAGAATATTGGGAATGTGGAACCCTGACAGTGCAGATCAGGGGACAGGAAGAGGGTCTCTCCCTGGGGTCCTGATGGGGAGTAGCCTTGGGCATATGACAGGTCGCCCTGCCGGCCAGAGCCTGGAGAAGAGGGGAGGGAAGGGGGACTGTGTAGCTGGCCCAGCCTGAGTAGGGAGGCGGATGTGACTCACCAGCCGGTCCCGCTTGGTGGCCCACTCCAGCGACAGCAAGGGGGACTTGGAGATGGAGGAGGCCTTGGTCTGCATGGTGGGGTTGAAGGACCACACTTTGATGACCCCATCGACGTCCAAGCTGGCGACCCTCCTCCCCGAGCAGTCCACTCTACGGGGAAAAGGGGTGGGGAGGTGGTGGGAGGTGTCAGCAGCCCCATCGGGTCCGTCTGTCTCTCCCGCCACTGCCCAGACATGACCTGTCCAACTTCGCTGACCACTGGAAAGCAGGACCCCTCAAACGCCTCCACATGAAGGACGAGTGTGTCCCTGCTCCAGAAACAGCCCTTCCTCCTTCTGCCCTGCACGAAGCCCCTGCTGCGTCTGAGCCTGGGGGGCAGGGGGCGCGGGCAGGGTGGGAGGCAAGTGACCCTGGGGTGGCACCCACTTGCCCTCTTCGATTTGCAGCCTGTCTGGTTAGTTCCTGAAAGGCCACGCCTATGTAGCACCATGCATCACCTGCAGGCAGCAACAGAGTGAATGCAAATGGAGACTGTGTGTGTGTGTGTGTGTGTGTGTGTGTGTGTGTTTGCGCGCGCACACGCACCATGTCTGTGTGTGCACATATGTCTGTGTGCGCATGTATGTCTGTGTCTGTCTGTGTGCATGCATGTATTTGTGTGTGTGCGAGTCGGTGTGTGTCTGTGTGCACGTGTCTCTGTGTGCGTGTGCATGTGCACATGTGTCACTGTGTGTGCGTGTGCATCTCTTTGTGTGTCTGTGTGTGCATGTTTCTGTGTTTGTGTCTGTGTGTGAGTGTGTGTCTCTGTGTGCCTGCATGTCTTTGTGCACATTTGTGTGCTAGCGTGTCTGTGTGTGCGTATGGCCTGATGCTAAAACCCAGGCCACGGGCAGCTCCAAGCACACCCCTAGACAGCAGCAGTCCAGCCCCCCCGACTCTATGGGGGGCTTCTGGGTCTATGGGGGTCATCCCACCCCACTTGGCATGAGCACCTAGAGCCCCAGGCCTCCTGGGGAGACGCACCTGCAGTGCATGATGGATGAGTGGTGCTCCCCATACTCCTCCTGGCCCAGCACGATGAAGGGCTGCTCGGGGCGCCCCGCACCCCCCTCGGGGCCTGCCGTTGGGACCCGCATCAGTGTCTCCATTGCCTCTACATGGAGCTCCACACAGGGCTCGACCTCCGCTCCACCAGCCTCAGGCTTCCTGTCGGCACCCTGTGGGGGACAAGTGGAGACGGGCAGCGGGAGGGGTTGGCATGGGGGCGGGGGGAACCGGTGAGGCCAGGCCCTGTCCCTCCAACCCCAGAAACTGGGGTGCCACAGTCTGATGGTCGAGTTCTCTCTATGGGATGGCAACACCCAGCTCAGCTCAGGCCGGGGGTACCTGCCCCACTGAGAGGCCAGGGTGCATGCTCAGATGTGCCCCCGCCCCTCCCAGCTCAGCAGCAGTGCATGAACTGCCCCCAGGAAGTTACAAGGGGCAGAGGGGAGCCAGTGGGGACCCCGAGACCCAGGTGTCAACCCTCATGAAGGCCTGCCCTGACTGCAGTGACCGGCTGGACATATGGAGAGACCACTGGGCCAAATACGGCTCCATGGCTGAACACGTACTCAGCATGCAGGAGGCCCAGGCCCCATCCCTGGTACTGCAGAGGGTCCCCCGAACATGAGCGACCCCTGCAAGCAGCTGGGTGTGACCCAGACAGACGCCCCAGGTGACAATGGAGCCAGAGTGCCCCCCCCCGCTCCCCCAGCCCTACCAAGTGGGGTGGGATGACCCCCCATAGACCCAGAAGCTTCTCAGGGATCTCTTGTCTGCCATGAAACGGTGAGGTGACCACCGCATGCCCACATGAAAGCCAGGTGGATGGGGCCTCAGCCCAGTGTGCATGCACACACACACACACCCTGATTCTCTCCAGGGCCTCAGCCTGGCATGCACGCATGCGCAGACACACACACACACACACACACACACACACACACACACACACACACACACACCCCTCTGCTGCTCTCCAGGGCCTCAAACTGGCATGCACATACCCCCCACACACACACTCCCCTCACCACACACACATCCCTGCTGCTCTCTAGGGTGGAGGAAGAATCACTCTACAGGGGAAACAGAGGCACACCGGCCTCACGGTGCAGCACAGCACCTGTGGGAGCAGCTGGGCCCCAGGCAGACTGGGCAGCAGAAGGGACCCATGTGGGGCTGGGACCGGGTGGACGTGCCCTTCCCCCGGCAGGCAGCCCCATGGGACACGGTGTCAGAGGGAGACACAAGGTCGTCTGCGCTGGCCTTCTGCCTTGAATGCCCCGAGGGCCATGGCAGCAGCCCCCCTCTGTGACCCCTGACCCTGAACTCGGCAAGAAGGGGCGCCCCAAGCTTGACCTGCAGGAACCATGGGGCAGGCCCATGGTCCTTGGGGTCCCCGCAGGAGTGGAGGGTTGGGGGAGAACAGGACTCCATGTCCAAGCAAGCCTGGCTCCCCTGGGGTGAGCTCAGGGCGCGGGTCTCGAACACGAAGGTTGCCGGCCTGAGGCAGGAGGCAGCTCAGAACTCACCCCCCAGGGAGCACAGCCGGGGGGCTGGCACTTAACGGGCAGGGGAGGGGGCAGGGACGGGTACCACGGTGGGAGGCTGCAGCCAAACAGAACATTAAGGACATCCCCCGAGCGCCGCACACGCACCTGCAGCGACGTGGACAGAAGCTCCTTCCGCTCCTTGCCGTGGTCCTGCAGACGCCGCTGCCGGTGCTGCGACCAGCTGGACTCCCCGGAGGCCAGCCCGCTGAAGAGGCTCTTGGTGTCCTTGGGCCCGCACGCCGGCTCCTTGCTCTTTGCGCTCTGGGGGACGACACGCCAGGCCATGAGCCCCACCTCACCCGGCTCCTGACGGGGGGGTCCACACACTCCTCTCTCTGGACCAGCCGGTAGCACTGGGGGTCTCCTCCTATCCTCTGAACCCCCCTGAGAGAGACCCCACCCTCGGCCAGTCACCCCCTCGTCGCAGGCACGAGCCCCTTGATGGACTCGGAGAGGGTCAGTTAAGGGCAAGAGTGAGTACAGACGAAGGAGTCGGGCGTGATCCGGTCAGAATCTCGCTTGGTGGGGTGGTCGGTAAACGGCATCATCACTGAAGACGAACCAGTCACGCAACATGCACTCAAAAGGCCTGCTGAGGAAGTGTGTGGAGTGGCCTCGGGCTGGAAGCACCTTTTAAGGACGCATGGGGGCACGGTTTGTTACCCAGAGAGCACGGAGGCCTAGGCGTGACCCATCCGCAACTTCTACTTAAACTCTAAGGACTAAGGAGGGTGGCGGCGGGAGAGATAGTTCAGTGGGGAAAACGCTTGCCTGGCACACAGCCGGGCCCAAGTTCAATCCTTGGTCACCCCACAGGGTTCCCTAAAGCCCTGCCAGGAGTCATCCTCGAGCAGAGAATCAGGAGTAAGCCCCAAGCACAGCCAGTAAAGCTCCGCCCCCCCCCCCTGCCCCACAAAAAACAAAAAGGTCAAAAATTTCACTTTATTTCAGCACAAGGAGGAAAACAGAATTGCACACAATAGAAAAAGTCGACCATCATATGGTTTAGTTTGCAGCAGAATGATTTCGGCGGGGGTCGGGGGGGTGGATAGATAGTATAGCAGGGAGGGTGCTAGTCTTGCATGTAGCTGCTTGGGTTCAATCCCCAGAATTCTATACTGTCCCATGAGCACTTCCAGGAGTAATTCGTGAGTGCAGAGCCAGGAGGAAGTCCTGAGCACCTCTAGGTATGCTCACCCTACTGCCTCCCCACCCCCCCCCCAAAAAAAACCCACACAACCCTAAAACCAGCTCAGTTTTTGGGCTGGAGCGATAGCACAGCGGGCAGGGCGTTGTATGCAGCCGACCGACCCGGGTGTGGTTCCCAGCATCCCATATGGTCCCCTGAGCACTACCAGGAGTAATTCTATTTTATTTTATTTTATTTTATTTTTTTTGCTTTTGGGGTCACACCCAGCGATGCTCAGGGGTTATTCTTGGCTCTGCACTCAGGAATGACTCCTGGTGGTGCTTGGGGGACCATATGGGATGCCAGGGATCCAACCCAGGTCGGTCGCATGCAAGGCAAATGCCTTACCCTCTGTGCTATTGCTCTGGCCCCGCCAGGAGTAATTCTTGAGTGCAGAACCAGGAGTAACCCCTGTGCATCGCCGGGTGTGACTCAAAAAACAAACAAAAAAACAAAACAAAAAAAAAAAAACAAAACAAAAACCAGCTCAGTTTTGTTGGCGTGCTCAGAGCCTTCCGGAAAGCAGGCCCTGCCCGCAGACACACAGAGCAGCCTCCTCTCCAAGACCTGCTCCAACCCACGGAGGCAGCCCCAGGGCAGCCCTGCCTTGTGCTGCTGTTTGGGAGCTGGGCCGTAATTAGACACTAACAAGAGCATCACAGGAGTGTTGGGCCAGCGGCTGGATTTCTTCACATCGCGGCCAATTAAAGGCTTATTTGGTGCTAAAGTAACTCCCAAGAGTGTCCCCGGGCTCAGGAAGCAGCGGGCTGGGAGACAGAGGTCATAGTGGAAGGAAGGCCAGGGCACACCTGACAAGGCACCCTCCTTCCGACTCTCAAACCTTCAGGTTTCCTCCAGCTCCTGGCTGTCTTCAGGATGAAGACATTCTGGCTGAGATGCACCACTGAAACTATAACAACTGAGGCCTGAGTGATATAGTACCGCGGGGAGAGCGTTTGCCTTGCACGCGGCTGACCCAGGTTGATTCGATCCCCGGCATCCCATCTGGTCCCACAAGCACTACCAGGAACAATTCCTGAGTGCAGAGCCAGGAGCAAGCCCTGAGCATCGCTGGTTATGACCCAAAAAGCTAAAATATTCAAATGAATGTTTAGTGGAACTGTGGAACTGTCCTTCCATTGTTCATCAATTTGCTCGAGTGGGCCCAGTAACGTCTCCATTGTGAGACTTGTTGTTACTGTGTTTGGCATATGGAATACGTCATGGGTAGCTTGCCAGGCTTTGCCGTGCGGGCAAGATACTCTCGGTAGCTTGCCGGGCTCTCCGAGAAGGATGAGGAATCAAACCCAGGTCAGCCGGGCTGGCTGCGCAAGGCAAACGTCCTGCCGCTGTGCTATCACTCCAGCCCAAATGAATGTTTAAAAAAAAAAACCCGTAATAACCAATTACCTGATTCCTGTGCTTTCCGCACTGCACCAGGTGCTGGAAACGGGGCTCCCTTAGCTCTGTGCCCTGCTACAGGCCAGGCAAGCAGCGGGCAGCATGGGACATGTCCTGGCCCTCCCCCCTAGAACAGGAGCTGCCCCAGACGCTCCCAGGCCCGTGTCTCACTGCTGCCTCAGTGCCTGCCTATGTTCCCAGTAACGCTACTGAGTGGCCCCCCTCTGGGCGCCCCTTTTGAGGGCCTCTTGGGTTTGCCTGCCCGCGCTGAGCTCAGGGAAGGCTGCTCGGTGTAAGAGCTGTTGAGTCACTGTGGGCCACATTCCACAGGACCGGAAGGTTTGCATTTCAGACAAAACCCTGGGGAAGGGAACCGGGAACTAACGTCTGGTCTGCCTGAGACCTCAGGGGTGCTGAGCGCTGAGTCCTTTTGCATTCTGGTCTCCGGCCTGACTCGAGGAGGGACCCAAGCCGGCCAGAACCTTCACAACTCAACGATGACTGCGAAAATGGGTTGGGCACTTGGAGGTTACTGGAGCGGCAGATACTCTGAGGCCTTCAGGGAGTCACTCCATTCTCCCCCAGGGGAGAGAAATACTGTTATTAATTATTATTACTTAAATAAAAATTAGTAGAGGCAAGTAGACACTAGTGACGGGAATGGGGTTGGGACATTGCCTGAAAAATCACGAATAACCAGCCCTGGCAGCCGACCTCTACTAACCAACCACCGCCACGCTCCAGGCCACTTTCCGGACCATGAGACATATCATAGGACACTTCTTACCCATTTTGCATAATTACCACTCTATGTTTGATGGAGTTCAGACAGTAGGCAACAAATCATAGAAAGGAATATATGTAAATGCCTCTCAGACAGCCCAGCAAGCTACCGAGAGTATATCGCCCACACGGGCAAGCTCCCCGTGGCATATTTGATATGCCAAAACCAGTAACAATAACAGGTCTCATTCCCCTGACCCTGAAAGAGCCTCCAACCATTGTTAAAGATGAGTAAAGGGAGGCTGCTAAAATCTCAGGGCTGGGACGAACAGAGACGTTACTGGCGCCTGCTCGAGTAAATTGAAGAATAACGGGATGACAGTGATACACTAAACTCTAATTTTGTAATTTATGGTGACTCTATAAAGGTAAAGGTAAAGGTAAAGGCCCTCCCGTTGATCGTCGATTTGCTCAAGCGGGCCCAGTAACGTCTCCATTGGAGACTTTGTTGTTACTGTGTCTGGCATATCGAATACTCTCGTTAGCTTGCCGGGCTCTCCAAGAGGGGTGGAGGAACCGAACTCGGGTCGGCCATGTTGGCCGCTTGTAAGGCGAACGCCCTACCCGCTGTGCTATCACATTATACAAATTGAGAGGAGAGGGGCTGGGTTTGGGGCCACCCCTGCTGGTGCTCTGGGGCGACTCCTGGCTAGAGTCAGGGACCACAGTGCCGAGTGAACTGCATGCAAGGCAAGCGCCATAAGCTCTGTGCTATCTCTCTGGCTCCTATCACTTTTTAAATTTTTGTCTCAGACTATTGACCGAACGCGATGGCCACTTAATACCTCTATTGCAAACCACAACACTGAAAAAGAGAGAGAGAGCAAGAGGGAATGCCCTACCACAGAGGCGGAGGAGGGTGGAGGGGACGGGGGAGGGGGGGGGAGATGGGATGCTGGGACCATTGATGGTGGGAAATGGGCACTGGTGGAGGGATCATCACATGACTGAAACGCAAGCACGGAAGTTTGTAAGCCTGTAACTGCATCTCACGGTGATTCACTAATTAAAAAAAAATTTAAAAAAACTTTTGTCTCGGGTGTATGGGGGGTTTGTTGGACCACACTCAAGCAGTGCTCAGGACTTTCTCCTGCTAATGTCTGGGGTCACTCCTGGGAAGGCACAGGGACCCTATGTGGTGTTGGGGATTGAATCCAGGCCCGACCCGCTGCATTCTCTCTCCAGCCTAGTGTTATTATTCTAGGGTGAGCAAGTTGGGGTGAGTTTCAGTCGAGGGGATTGCAGCAGCTCCACAGCCTCCCCGTCCAGGCTCTTCCCTAGCCAGCACCCTGCTCAGTTTCTATCCTGAACAATCCCAACCCCAAAGTGGGGGGAGGGGCCCCCAGGACTCAGACCCCACTTGCCGCAGGCAGTCCCTAACCAGAACCTGTTCCGCATCCGGAAGATGGGAAGGCAGCGACCCTGACAATTTCCACAAACCCACACCCTACGGAGAAGGATGAGGGTCTCAGGCTGTGCATCGGACCCCAAGGCCAGGGCGCCCCGCCGCGGGCCTTCCGGAGCGCAGAGCGCTCTTGGGCCATCGCTGACCAAATGTCCCCCTGGCAGTCTGAGCCCCACATTGGCATGAGAGAAATCCTCCTGAAAGCGTCCAGACCAGCGAGGCACGGCCAGCATTCTATGCGGCGTCGGAAATACGACGTCTCGCCAAGAACCCCGTTCCCCGGTCTTCCCCCCTTGACTCTGCCGGATGAAAAATTCCGAGTTCCACGAGGGCACGGACCCACACTTGGGTCACGGCAATCGGGAACTCCGAGAACAAGGGGGCTGGCTCGCTGGGGCCGGCGGGGAGGGTCTCACTGTGCTCCATCCCTTCCCCTGTTCATTGCCCAGACCCCGGAGTCCCCCGCTGGGCAGTGGTCAACCTCGCGGGTCAAAGCCAAGGTCAGACCTGGGTCTGCGCTCCGGCCCCCTCCCTCAGGAGACAGGCCCCTGCCTGCAGTCCTGGCAGCACCCCCTGAATCTTCTCGAACCCACTCAGCTCACACTTTGCTTTGCATCCTGCAGAGGCTACTCCTGGCTGCCAGGGGAGAGGCCAGGAACGAGGGAGAAAGGGGCCTCCGGGAAATACACCTGCCCACCCACCCACCCAAGAAACCCACCCAGCGGGAGGGGGGGAGCGGGTCTCCACCAGGCAAGCAGGGCGGCGAGCACAGTCAGATGGCAGAGGCCGCCGGGCGGCTCCGGCACTCACCAGGCTGCTCGAGGACTCTTTCTTGGCCATGCTCTGCGTCTGCAGGGTGCCCTGGGCCGGCGACAGCCTCGAGGGACTCTTCTTGCTCTGAGGCAGCAGCGAGGACAGGAAGCCGACGCGAGGGGACTGTGAAAGAGCTGCATGCCGCTGGCTGGACACCATGGCCCTGGCCCGGGAGACACACACGGGGTTGGTCAAAGGGCTCACAGCAGTCCGGGAGGACCTGGCATGCAGATCTCGGTAGCACTGGGTCTGAGCCCCGGGCTCACAGGTCGGGGCTAGCAGGGCGGCGTTATCCCTGCTCCGAGGTCCTGTGCCAGAGGGAGACGCTGGCCTGGACACTCTCTGGGGTCCGACAGGGCCGGGCTGCCTTAAGCGTCCCTTGGTTGCATGGCCGCCACAGGCTCTGTGAGCATCGGGAACGCATCGGGATCAGACGGGCTGGAGGGCTCATGTCCAAGAATAGACTGAGCCCGAAGCACCGGCACCACGCTCATGCATGTCCCCTTTGGGTTTGTTTATCTATTTTTGGCTTTTTGAGTCACACCCGGCAATGCACAGGGGTTCCTCCTGGCTTTGCACTCAGGAATTACTCCTGGCAGTGCTCGGGGACCATATGGGATGCCGAGAATCGAACCCGAGTTGGCCACATGCAGGGCAAACGCCCTCCCCGCTATGCTATTGCTCCAGCTCCCAATTCATGTCCTCTTTCCTTTCCCGTACATATTGAAGGATTTTGGCTCAGCTGGGCTGAATTAATAGAGCACTGAAATGAACTTTGCCTCAGTTTCTTTTTTTTTCCCTCCCAAATATAGCTCCTCAATATTTGGGCGGGGAGGATGCAGAGTGGGATCCCAAGCAGAACTGAGAAGGTCCAGGGGCCCCTCCGGCCATTCTCTGGGCCAATCAGGCAGGCGGTTCAACGCCAGGGCCCAAGCACGGGATGCTGTTTGGGGCCCACAGTGCCAGGGATTAACCCAGTGGTGCTGGCGACAGCCAGGGCTGCACCCGGCCATACTCAGGGGGGCCTGTGGGGTCCCAGGGACCAAACGAGTTGCCTCGAGCTCCACGCACGGCGTGTGCCTGACCCCCGGTTCCATCTCTCTGGCCCTGTCCTCCACGTTGTGGAATGACTTCTGGTGTGGCACCTTCTTCCCATCGGCGAAGGTGCCCACTCGGGAACTAGAGCCGAACTTACCCAGTGCGGAGCTGGGCCCACGAACCATGCACAGGGACCTGTCCCATGCCTCCCCCACCTTTTGGGATGCCATGGCTGCCCGGCTGCCCAGCTGCTTCCCTCTGCCAGGTGCTTCCGACACACACACACTCTCTCTCTCTCTCTCTCTCTCTCTCTCTCTCTCTCTCTCTCTCTCTCTCTCTCTCCACCCCCTCCCCATGGTGGCTGGACTTCCTCCCGGGACGTGTGGCCCGAGGTCTGCCAGACACTTCCGAGACACACACACACACACACACACACACACACACACTCTCTCTCTCTCTCTCTCTCTCTCTCTCTCCCATGGTGGCTGGGCTTCCTTCCGGGACACACCACCTGAGGTCTGGGCCCCTGGAGTGGGCAGGCCGGGGGTCTGGGAGGGGGACGTGGTTCCGGGGGTGGGGGGGGCACACACTCACAGCTCCGAGTCCCCCAGGCGGTCCATGTTGGAGACGTAAGGGGGCAGCTTGTGCTGGACCACGGCCTCCCCCTCCTCGGGCTGTGGCTCCTCTTTCTTCAGCCGGTGGACTTCAGCCTGGAGTGCGAAGAGCTGGGCGGGGGCAGGAGAGCAGAGTGAAAAGGTGGGGGGGACGACTCTCGCCTCCTCCAACCCAACCCCAAACCCTACCAGCCTCACTGCTCCGGCCTCAGGTGGCCCCTGCCATCTGCTTCCCAGTCATGAGGAAAAACAAAACGGGCCAGTGGGGCGAGAAACCCAAAACCGTCAGTGACACAAAGGGACTTTTCTTTCTTCATCCTAGAACTTGCTTCAGTTTTACCATTTGACTTTCTTTTTTTTGCTTTTTTTTTGGGGGGGGGTCACACCCAGCGATGCACAGGGGCTACTCCTGGCTCATGCACTCAGGAATTACCCCTGGCGGTACCCATATGAGATGCTGGAAATCGGACCCGGGTCGGCCGCATGCAAGGCAAACGCCCTACCCGCTGTGCTATCGCTCCAGCCCCACTGACTTTGCTTCTTGCTCTGTCCACTGAGAAAAAGAGCTCCCCCTGCAAGCTCACTGAGGGCTCTTTGGAAGCCACAGATTCCAGCTGAGGACCTCCAAGGGGCATTTTCTTTAAGTTGTATTTATTCTCCTGGTGCTGGGGATCAAACCCTGGGCCTCACACATGCAATCCCTGTGTTCTACCTTTTGAGTCCTGGTTCCCTTCCTCCCATACGCATATTTCTTAAAAAAAAAATAAAGTTAAGCATCTTTAATATTTAAATATTATTTAAATTTAAACATTTAAATATTATTTAAATAGAGATAAATATTTAAATAAAGTTAACCCTTTGCCTGAAGAACACTGAACACATAAACACGAGAATCTTAACCTCTCTTCCCATCCCCCCCCCCAAAAAAACCTTAAATACTCTCTTTTCTGAAAAAAATCTAATCTGCCAGGGAGGCCACAGTGTAGTAGAGCAAGCACACTCATGGCCACCTGCAGAGTCTCCAAGCCCGCCAGGACTGATCCCTGAGCACAGAGCCAGGAGTTAAACCTGAGCACTGCCAGGTGAGGCCCAAAAACCAAAACCAAAACCAAAAAAAAAAAAAAAAAAAAAAAGCCTATTCTATAAGGTCATTCCTGGACAAAGAAGAGGTCCTCAGGGGAAAAGTATCCAGACCCATGTGAATCCCCTGCACCTAATATTTTAGTGACTAGGCTGGCAGAATAACTGACTTTTCTGAACTCACTCGGGACTGCAAACAGCAAGGACAGGGGTGCTTGGACGGGGCCACCAAGCACCCCAAACGGACAGGGAAGTGAGTCTGAGAAAATTTCCTACTGGCCACTGCCTCCCCCGCCCCCCTTTTCCCAACCGCCAAACCTACCTTCTGGCGCAGAACCTCATTTTCCTCCTGAACCTGGCTGGTCCGCTGGCACTCAGCATCGAAGTTCAGGATCACGGGCACTGGTGTCCGCAGTTAAAGAACATGCTGGCAACGAAACAGGTGCAAGGCTTCCCCACACCATTTGACACAGGATGGGAGCCAAGGGGTGTGGGGGGGGGGGGCCTCATAGCGTCAGAAACGCTCTCTCCCCTCTCTGCTCCAATCAGTTCCTCAGCAGCCCGGGCAGACCCGCAGACAGCCTCCCTGCCCCACACCCAGCCCACCCTGGAGAATGACCGGGTGGAGTGTGTCAGGTACATGCCACCCTAGATTCAGGCGTGTCTCACCCAAGTGCCCCGACACCCTGAGGGGTGCCTTCCAAACGCCCTGAGCTGGTCCGGGGCCACCAAGCACCCCAACACTGTCAGCGGTGCCTCCCACATGCCTGAGCTGCTCTGGGGGCACCGTCTGTCCCCAAAGGGTGTGGTGACAACTTCTCACTTTCTAGAAGTGGCCCCCTGTGACCTCCTTCCCAAGCCCCCTGCTAACTGCTTCTGAGGGTCCCTGGGTGAAGGGCCACAGTAGGGGAGGGGAAAAAAATGGCCAAACGGGCAAGAGGTCAACTCACATGCCCCACGTGCCACAGGGAAGGACACCCCGCCTGGGCCCCCCAGGAAGAATTCCTCCCGGGGGTAAGGCTCCAGAAGACCCCGCGTTCTCATGCCCCACCAAGCAGCGATTTCCAACTATTTCTTTTTCTCCCCTACCAGTCTGACCTGGCATGAGCAAAGAGAAAAATCTCGGGAGCCCTGGACAGCACTTTCTTTCTTTTTTTTTTTTTGGCTTTTTTGGTCACACCGAAACAGGTGCAAGGCTTCCCCACACCCTTTGACACAGGATGGGAGCCAAGGGGTGTGGGCGGGGGGGCCTCATAGCGTCAGAAACGCTCTCTCCCCTCTCTGCAAACCCCTTTGGCGATGCGCAGGGGTTACCTCTGGCTCTGCACTCAGGAATTACCCCTGGCGGTGCTTGGGGGGCCATATGGGATGCTGGGAATCGAACCCGGGTTGGCCGTGTGCAAGGCAAACACCCTACCCACTGTGCTATTGCTCCAGCCCCTGGACGGCAGGCTTTCGGGGGCAAAGAAAGGCGCACATTATTTGCACGCTCTCTTACCCACATTTTTGTTTCTTTTTTGTTTGTTTTGGTTTCCGGTCATACCTAGAGATATTCTGGAGCGATAGCACAGCGGTAGGGCATTTGCCTTGCGTGCAGCCAGTCCGGCCGAGCCGGGTTCGATTCCTCCTCCCCGGGTTCGAGTCCTCTGCCCCTCTCGGAGAGCCCAGCAAGCTACCGAGAGTATCTCGCCCGCACGGCAAAGCCTGGCAAGCTACCCGTGACATATTCGATATGCCAAACACAGTGACAACAAGTCTCAAAATGGAGAAGTTACTGGGCCCGCTCGAGCAAATCGATGAATGGGAGGACAGTGCTATAGGCTACCTAGAAGCTACCTAGAGGTATTCAGGACTTACGCCTTCATCAGGGATCACTCCAGGTGGGCTCGAAGGACCACGTGGGGTACCAGGGACTGAAGCCACACCAGCCGCATGCCAGGCAAACCCCCTACCCTCTGGACTATTTCTGTGGCCCACCCGCATATAGATTCTTTTTCCTTTAACGGGGGCCACGCTCAGCAGAGCTGCACCCTTCAGACCAGTGGTGCTTGCTGGGCAGCGGGCAGAGGGGAAACACACCGAGTTGCCAGGGGTGGAGGTGGGGGGGTGCTAGAGAATCAACCCGGGGCACTGCCCCCCTCTCGACATCTGCCCCACTCCTCCCCCTCTCTCTCTGGCACCCCCATTCATACAGTCCCAAAGCTGCCCTGGTTTCCATCAAGCAGAACACGGAGGTCACGGGCAAGAGAGGGTGACCCGGGCACAAACTCTTGAAGGAAGTTCCAGTCCCGGAAGTGTCCCCAGCGACTTCCTGTGGCCAACACCAGCTGCTGATATCCTGGGCAACTCAGGGCCTGCACCCTGGCTGGCAGGGTGCAGGAGGCAGCAGCTGCCTTGCAACCCCGCTGTCTGCTGAGAGGCCCTGCACCCTATCTGGGGGCCCCTCTAGGGAAGAGACATTGCCCCCGCCCCCCAAAAAAGCTTCCATAGTCTCTTGCCAAGCCAGGCCTTCAGTTATTCCTTTGGCGGCAGAATCAAGCCTCTATTTCCAATTCCCTGTGGGCGACCACCACTGTGTGTGTGTGGGGGGGGGGGGCACCTCTCGGGGTGCAGGACAAGGACCCCGGGCTGTCCTGTGGGAGAACCGGTGGCAACAAGAGCAGCGCCCCAGGGTCCTTGCCCCTGGGCTGACCAAGAGCCCCCACCCACCCCCTGCCCAGAGGATATGCATGCACTGGAATAGGACGCTGAGGAAGTTGTGCAGGGACACGATGAAGGTGTCGGCCCACTGCCGAGAGAAGTAGGTGGCAAAGGTGGGGTTGGTGTCCGGGGAGGGCAGGAAGGGCAACGCGAACCAATCCTTCCACTCAGCCTGGTTCTGGAGCTCCGCCGCCTGCTTCGTGAAGAACTCCTGAGCCTTGTCGTTACGGTTGGTCTGCCGGGACGAGAGGGGACAAGGAGGGGAGCAGAGAACACAGGTGAGAGTCTTCCTCCTATGGCGGGAGGAGGGGGTGTCTGCGAGGTCACAGGGCAGACCCCCCCCACCACCACGGATGGATGAAAGACAGCAGCCTCACTCTTCCCCAGGGTCCTCGTCACTTAAACGCCTGTGCAAGCCCACAGCCCTGATGACAAATGCCATCCTAATGGGGAATGCTGCGTTGACTTTCACAAAATGGCATAAGTGAACCACGCCTGCCATCAACTTTATCAGGCAAACGTTAACCCCAGCTACTTCCGTTCTTTCTGACACCACCCAGGCTTCCAGGCTTCAGACAAGAGGGGAAATAGGAATGAGGAAGACAAGTCAGATGACCGAGAGATGAAAAGAGGGAGGTAAAAAAAAAAAAAGGCAGGAAAAGAATGGAGAATAACTTGCATGCGCGTTGCTGGTTTTACCCTTTCCCTGGTCTGAAAGAACAGAATCCACCCCAAGGGCCTAAAAAAAAAAAATTGCCAGGGTAGCTCATAGCTTGCCCTGGGTCCACCCAGTCCCTCATCGGGACTCTGCTTTTGGAGTGCTAGGAAGTAAGGACAATTGAGGCTTAAGAAAACAGATGCCCCGGAGTGAATAATATTCAGAGTCAATTTAACTCCCAAGTTACAAAGCATAGCATTAACTGTCTCCCTGTGTCCATACAATAAGGACATAGCTCTGAATTAACTATGCAAAGGACTTAAGGAGAAGAGAAAAAGCAATATTTACAAGTTAACACAGTCTGATTAGGAGATAAAGGTGATTGACCGGTTGGGGAAGCAGAGCATGGAGAAAGAGCTTCCAAATAAACACAGAGGAATGGGAGCACTGTGATGGGAGTAACCCAATAAACCTAAGCTCCCTGTGGCAAGGCAGAAAGGACAAACCAATGTTATCCTACAAATAATAAAGTCTTTTTCCAGCTCAAAGAACACGCATGGACAAGCGGCATCCACTCAGCGGGGAGCACCTGTATGGTGTAGACGAGGTAGAAGCGGAACAGGCTAGTCTTGAGCTTGTGGATGGTGGGTCTGTAGATGTCCTCCAGGCGGCTGAAGAGGCGCCGCTCCAGGTAGCTCCAATAGTCGCGCAGGGCGGCCAGGTCATACACCTGCATCAGCTGCTGCAGCTGCTCCACGATCTTGTCCACCTGGGAAGGCAAAGGGGGGCTGGAGCGGCTAGTTGGGGGGGGGGGGGGGGGAGTCCTCCCCCCCACTCCAAAACATGCAGTTCCCCATGCGGCGCCATCTGAACGCAGTTCCCCATGCAGCGCCTTCTGGATGCAGTACCGGGGCTAAGTAATTGCCTTGCACATGGCAGATCCTGGTTCAACCTCCCAGCACCGCACGGAGTCCCCCAAGCAGTGACCAGGAATAAGCCCTGAACACGGCTGAGTACAGCCCCAAGCCCCGCCACCCAGGAGTTACAAAGGTCATAACTAAGGCAGGTAAGAAGTTTCTGAGTTACTTTACTTTACTTTACTTAGTAAGTTACCCCAATTCACTCATCTGGAAGTTACCAAGGTAGTAACCAGAAGCTACTCACTCACATGCCAGACCCGTGCCCTAATCATGCTGCTCCCTCAGCTGACGCCTGACCCATGACGCGGCCCTACAAAGCCTGGAGCCTTCGGGGCTGAGAGTGCTCTCTCCCCGGGCAGCAGGCCCGATCAGGGTCTTGGATTGGCCTCTGGCTTAAGCAATACGGCAGCAGCGTCATTTCGACTCTGCTCACTCAGCGGCATAATGTTCAGATAATAATAAAAGAGGGGGTTGGGGTGGTTGGAGCAATAGCACAGCAGGTAGGGCATTTGCCTTGCACGTGGCTGACCCGGGTTCGATTCCCAGCATCTCATATGGTCCCCCGAGCACCGCCAGGGGTAATTCCTGAGTGCATGAGCCAGGAGTAACCCCTGTGCATCGCCGGGTATGACCCAAAAAGCCAAAAAAAAAAAATTAAAAAAAATAAAAGAGGGGGGTGGGCAATTTCCGGCCCCATGATCACAGGATTCTCTCTGAAAGACACCCACCAACCCCTGCAAGGCATTCGAAGCGCGGGGGGGGGGGGGGGGGGGGGGGGGGGGGGGGGGGGGAGGCGTTTGCCTTGCACTGAGCTTCTCTAGGGGTGATTCCAGGCCCAGAGCTGGGAACAAGCCCTATTCATCAGTGTGTGTGTGTGTTGGGGGGGCGGGGGAGGCAGGAGGGAGGGTGACCACAAAACAAAGACATCAAAGCATCCCCAAAAGAACTCTGGCCACAGCTGAGAGGATCAGCCACCTGCAGTCAGAAACTTGGCAAGTGCCATCACATCACAGTCCACAATCTGGAACAGGCCGGAGTTTCCAGCTACAATGCCCTCCTCAACAGAGTGTGTGTGTGGAGGGGGGGGGGCGGGGGGGGGTGTCTCTGAGGTTTGCAGGGCTGAGCTGAGCAGTGAATGACTTGCCCTCCGCAAACCCGGGAAGCGGCCAGATCCCTTTCCTAAACCTCCTGGCGCACGCCTACCTACTCCGGCTACCACTTGGTGTCAGCAAATGCACAAACACACACAGGTAGACATCTAAGAACTTCTCAAGAAAAAAAAAAAAGCATTGTGTGTGGGGGGGGCGGGAAGGAGGTGGGGGCAGAGAAAGGTGCAAAAGCCTATTTTTTTTTTTTTGATCGTGCACCAAGGTCTTTCTCAAAAGCAGAAGCAAAACTACCCGTTAAGTCACCGACCAGGCTACAGGCTAGCTGAGCACTCGGGGCCGCCTCCGACACCCCCTCCCTTTTGCAGCCACGGGCCATGCATCAGAAGCCAACTCTTGGTGGCGCAAACTCCAGCCTCCACCGCGCCTTAACTCCTAAAAAAAAAATAATTAAAATAATAATAATAATAATAATAATAATAAAACATCTGAGCGCCGCCCGCCGGGAGGCTTGGGGTGCGCCCTGGCGCGCTGGACCAGAATCTGGGCACCTGGTGTCCAGCCTCGGCGACGCTCCTGATTGGCGGGGCCCCTTGGGCAAAGTCAGTCCCCCTCCTCTCTCTTTTCTTTCTCTCTCCCTCTCTCTCTCTCGCTGGCTCTCGGGGCTCGGCTCCCCCTCGGTCCGGGTGCAGCAGCCCCCGCGCCGCTGCCGACCGCCAGCCCGCACCCCTCCCCCGCGCCCCGGGTGGGGTGACAGCGCCCGCGCCGCTCCCGCCCCGGAGGGCAGCGTCCCGCGGGCTCCCCGCGGGCTCCCCGCCGCTTCCTCACCCGGAACCCCTTCTCCTTGTCCGCCTTGATCTCGGCGTCCAGCTGCCGCAGCGTGTGCGTGAAGCCGCGGAAGAGCAGGTACTCGCGGACCAGCTCGTCCGTGCGCTCCACGGCCTCCGCCATCGCTGCGCCGGCGCCGGGAGCGGCCGCGGCGGGCCGGGGGAGGGGGGGGAGGGAGCGGGAAGGACGAGGGAGGGGCGGGGCCGGTCGCCGAGACGTCACGCGGCGGCCCGCCAATCAGCGCGCACGCCTCACGGCCCGCGGAGAGCCCGCCTGCGGCCCCGCCCCCTGGCTCTGACCACGCCCCCTCCCGCCGCGGCCCGCCTGCGGCTCCCACCGGCCCCGCCGCCGCCAACTTAACTGCAGCCTCGGGGAGCGGGTGGGCGGAGCTTCCCGGAGACGCCCCGGAGTGTGCTCTGGCTGCCGTGCTCGAGGCCGCTTTGTTTTGCCTGGAGTTATTGAAAGTGGAAGCGGTCTTCCTGGTCCAGTAGAGCTGGACCTTGGAGAACGTCCCAGATGGTCACGAGGCGGGCGGGGGGCTGCAGTGCCCTTTTCATTGGCATTGCAGCGCGGCATCCTCTCTTTCCCAGGGACTTGGTCCTCACCGGGGCAAACAGGAGTCTTTTGATACCAGATGACTGGTGGGAAGCCACGCATCCAGTTGTCATCTTCTGTACCTCTTCGAAAAGCAGGGCTTTCGGTAATAAGACGGATTCACTGCGAAATAACCCAGATGCGCGCGCGCGCGCGCGCGCGCGCACACACACACACACACACATACGTTACAGTGCAGTCAGTTATAAGATGGAACCAGTTTATTGAAAAGAAAAATAAGTTTTTGTGCACATTTGGAAACATTAGAAAGATGCTGCAGTACTCCACTGCCTACCTTTTTTTTTTCCTGAGAAATCAGACTCTGAGGGACTTCCACTTTCTAACACATTTTTTTGGTCTGAATTTTTTACCAAGTATTTTTGTAAAGTAGAGAACAGACAATCATCCTGAGCCTTACTCTCCTCATGGGTAAACTGGTGAGGTTACACCGTATAGAGTAGGAATGAAACTGAATAAAAGTCTCCGGTAAAAAAAAAAATCCAACTGTTGTTCCTTTTGCCCTGACTCTAATTGTTTGGCTTTCTGTATTTGTCTCAATGCAACTCAAAATCTCTGAGCATCAAAAATGAACTTGGATACCAGAAAGACAGTGCAACAGGCAAGGTAGCTGCCTTGCTCCGTCAGACTTGGATTTGATTCTGGCCACCACATATGGTCCCCTGAGCATCACCAATAGTGATACCTGAATACAGAAGCCCAACAGGGTGTGACACCCCAACCAAAAAAAAAAAAATGAACTTGAGAAATCTCCACCACCACCAAAAAAAAAAAAATGAACTTGAGAAATCTCCACAACTAGAACCCTTGGAGACCTCCACCTACAGGAAAGTAGTCAATTATATTTCCCTAAAGGGCTTGGCTCACGTCTAGCCAACCCCCTACCTTCCCTCCTCTGCCTGTCCCCTCAATTCCCAGACTAGAACCTGTGAAATTCAGGTTAATTTTCCTAACACTGGGCCTTAGTACCTGCATTTCCTCTACCTGTAAGGTCTCCTGGATACCCACAAGAGAATTCATCCTGCTGCACAATTTTGCTCAAATGTCCCTTTCCAAGACAGCCTCCAGACCACTTCATACAGAACAGCGCCAGGTGTGGCCTCAACACCAAAAATAAATAAATAAATGCATCTCAGGGACTTGGTAAGTTACAAATGTCTGGGACCAACCCACAACCAGATTACATCTGAAGCTTTTGGGAGGGTGCCTGGGAATCAGCATTTGGAGCAAGTAGTGCCCAGTGTCTTGGGGATGGTTGTTTGAGAATCACTTACCTCATGGCAAATCGGGTCAGACAAACCAAGCAGGCATGCACCAGTGGTTACTTTTGTTGTTGTTGTTGTTCTGGTAGAGGGTATTGCTTGGCCCACATCCCTAACTTCATATGAACCTCAGGCAGCACTAGAAAGTCCCGTTTCTGTCCCTTTAGGAAGAAAACAAGTGTTGGCAGCCTAAATGATTTCATATTCCCTCTCTGTGTGATCTGTGCCCTTGTAGGCAAATTCGAGGAGCGGGGAAGGGGTGTGGGGAGAAGGGGCACATGAACACCAGAGCTCGGTCTAACCCCTGAGGGGAAGAATGTTACAGCATTCTTCCAAGGATGGGGATCAATGATTAAACCATGGCCAAATAGCAAGCCAGAGGTTCAAGAGTCCTAGAAGCTCTCCATCCTTCTGGGGGCGTGACCTTAGAAGTATTCTCTTTGCCCTTGACTCGTAGCCAGGCTGTTAGGCTGTTTTCTTTTGTGTGTGTATGGGGGGGGGGAGGTGTCTGGGGGGGGGTTATACCCGATCATGCTCAGAGGTTACTCCTGACTCTGCATTCAGGAATTATTCCTGGCAGGGCTCGGGGGACCAGATGGGATGCTGGGGATCAAACCCAGGTGGGCCGCATGCAAGGCAAATGCCCTCCCCGCTGTACTATATCACTCCAGTGCTGGCTGTTTCCTTTTGTTGCGCTGGGCTGCCCAGGGAACCCTTCAGTTGAGTTTTTCTTTTTTTTCACTTATTCTTTTTCCCAGGGAAAAGGCTTGAACTCCTAACTTTCCTTGAAGTCTTGTTGTCCTGGGCACTCACCCACTCCAGAAGCAATAGCTGTTTCTCCCTTGTTCTCTGAAGTGTTCAGCACCTTCCTTTCTGTCTGTCTCAGCAACTGGAACCCCTGAGAGCAGAGAGTGTCTCGCGGAGACCCTTGAAAATAAGTGGTCACCAGCTGCCTGTGGAATTCTGGACTGAATGAAGCTCACACAACTGTCCCATTTGGAACTATAAGTTACACATTTACTACAAAACATCCCTCGCTGCCACTGCTGGGGGGACATTCTTCCTTGTGTCAGAGTCATAAGAATGCATGAGTGTCACTGATAACTGGACCCCCTCCCACCCACCACCCACCCCACAATTCACAGGTGCCTTCAGTCATGTTCTGTGAGGCAGCCTATGTACATCTAAGCATGTAGCTTGATGAAAAGCACATGCATGCGTATGCACACGCGCGCGTGCACACACACACACACAAATACACACAGAGAAAGAGAAAGAGAGAGAGATCTTCTGCCTTGCATATTTGCAGTTTCTAGTTTTTTTTTTTTTTAATGTCTGTGCTACAGGATCCCAGGGGAACTCCTGGCAGTTCTCCTGGTAGTGAAAGCCTGAATGTTTGTGGTCTTTAGGCCCATGGTACTCAGAGAGCACCAGAATTACACCCAGCAGCGCTTGGAGGGGGGGGTTACGTAGTTCAGGGGAACAAACTCAGGACCTCATGCATGTGTTTTACCATTTTTGGGGGGAGGGGTGGCGTTGAGGGTGTGAGGATCTGGGCCATATCTGGCAGTTCTCAGGACTTACACCTGGTTCTAAGCTCAGGGATCACTCCTGGCAGAATCAGGCAGCCATCTGTGATGCCAGGGTTTGAACTGGTTCTGGCTGCATTCAAGGGAAGTGCCTTAACCCTTGTGCTATCTCTCTGGACCCTGATTTGCCTTTTTAGGAAAATTGATTTCTCCATATTGATAAGCACAATCGTAAAACGATATTATCATAAAACCACAATGAGAACTGTTACTCTAGGAATAAAGTTCTAAATTATCTCCCCCTCAAGTCTTCCTCCTCCACCTCACCCCTCAAAAAATAATGTTCAGGAATAGTACAGTGGTTAGGGCACTTGCTTTCTATGCAGATGACCTGGGTTTGATCCCTGGCGGCCTAGAGGGTCCCCCTGTCCTGCTAGAAATGGTCCCTGACCACAGAGCCAGGAGTAAGCCCTGTGCACCCCCAGGTGTGGTCCCCAAATAGAAAAATAATACTCTTGAACTCAATAATTCCACTTCAAAAATTTTCCTTAAGGAAGTCTTTTTAAAATATAATACACATAGAATGAGCCATTGATAAGACTAAATTGTTTCTAATAATGAAAGTTGTGAGTAACTAGAGACCATTGTGAAGTGTCCTCTAAGACCTTGGGAATGAAGAAACAACATTCCCCACTGCTAAAAGCAAACCACGGTGAACCCCAAAACCAAAGATGCCAAGTCAGTAGAAGGAGCACAAAGCTGCTAGACTCAGAGGATTTGATGGAGGACACTGACTCACAAGATAAACGCTGAGTTGACCAGAAGAGGTTTTAATACAGACACAAAAAGCGAGACAGTGACCTGAGGACAGAGCCTGTCAAGCCAGAGCATCATTTGTGCTCCCCAAATCTGAGCCGGTAGAAGCATCCCACCCCTCCTTCCCTGGTGACTGTGGAACCATTTGAATTTGGAACCATTTGATTCCTCTGTCTCTCCACTACAGGAAAAGCTGTGGACTTTGTAACTTTGTCTTGGGAGCCTAAAAGGGGGTCCAGACTCAGAGAGCCTTTCAACAAGGGTGGAAGAGGGGGTCATTCACGCCCGTGCTGTGCAGACACTCCCTTCCATCCATAGGTCTTTTCTTGTTGTTTTGTTGTTATATTATGGGTTTTTTTGGTTTGGGGACCATATATGTTGGTGCTCAGGGCTTACTCCTGTCTCTGTGTTCAGGGATCACTCCTGGTGGTTTGGGGGGACCATATGAGGTGCTGAGGATTGAACCTAACCAAGTCAGCCACGTGCAAGGTGAGCACCCTTCCTGCTGAACTACCTCTCAGTCCCTGGCACCATTTGTTCTCTTTCTCAGTTTGAATCTAGCTTACAAAAACTGCTCACTCGTGGGCTGGTACGAACCAGTTTCCACCAGCCTGTCCCCTACATCAAGCCCATACGCAGGAGTCTATTAATAATCTCCACTGGGAAAAAGAAATCTAAAACAAACGAACTCATGAGTCACACCAGGAGAGAGTATAAATAAATATTGCTACTTACATCCCTGGTAATATTAGGCAGTCAGTATGTTTTGGGGTTTCCCAAAAAACCATTTCATTAATGAGAGAAGTAGTCACACAAGTTTTAAAATGTATGAATCAGGGCCAGAGAGATAGTACAGTGGTCAGGGCACTTGCCTTGCACATAGCTGACTCGGGTTCAATCCGTGGCGTCCCATATGGTTTCCCAAGCACCGCCATAAGTGATCCCT